CGGGCTCGACCTCCGTCTTGAGCGGAGATCCGTTGGTGGTGTCAGGCGGGCTGGCGCTGCCGTCCGCTGCGGGGACCTCCAGGCTGGACCGCTTGATGGCGTTGAGGCTGCCGAGGCTGCTCCGGTGACGGTCGGAGGCGGTCGTCGGGCTGGTCTGGATAGGGAATCGAGTCTCGGGCCCGCCGCTGCTCCGCTCCCGCCGGTGGCCTCGGGGACCCGGCGCAGGGCTGGTGGCGCGGCTCCGCGGGGCGTGATGGACCTTCTTCTCGAGCAAGGCCCTGTTCCTCTCCTCCATCAGCGCTTTTCGGTTGCTCTCATCGGTGCTGATCGCTCGAGGGCGGCCCGGGGCGGAAATGGAGTGGCTGAGGGTTGACATGCGCTTGAGCTCGCTGAAGATGGCGTCCTTGTGCGCAAAGAGATCGCGGACCAGTCGGCTGGCGTGCTTCTCTTCCATCGTAAGAGAAGTCTCCATTCGGGGGCGCAGAATGCAAGGCGCCAAGGAAGTGGCCAACGCCGCAACGTATTCCTCATCGGCCGAAGTCAGGTCGATGAGGCGGGTGAAGTGATTCATGCACGCATCTAGTGTGGCAATGTTGGTCAACCGGAGCTGCGAAAGCGTCTGCTGGAGTACCGCAATCCGAGACGCCTCTGATGTATCGGTTGCAGGGGTGTTGTAGATTGTCCGGACGATTTCGTAAACGTGAGAGGAAACCAAGGAGTCTAGTAGAAGGGGTTAGATCCGACAACGCTTCGCAAGTAAGGAGGGAGCAAGTCGGTGCTGCTGCTTACCGGGAAGTTCGAGGAGATAGAGCTTCAGGAGGGATGCGACGGTCGGGATATCAAACTCGTCAAAAACTTCGGGGGCAACTGGCTTGCCGTCATTGACCTTTGCACGGAGCTTGTGCGTCTGGGCAAGGGGCACGTCGAGCAGCCACACTCCCCGCCTTGCCTCGTCGCCTTCCAAGTCAGGGTAGTGGTTGTCCAAGTAGGTCAGGATCGTGGTGATGATGATTGGGACACGCTTCTTATCGGCTCTTGCGCGCGCCTCCAGATCAACACCAAACGTCTGTTCGTCAACCTTGTTGTAGTAGTTCTCGTAGACGACAACCTTGGGGATGAAGCTTCCGGTGCGGTAATTCTCCAAGAGGTATCGGAGATCGCCCGAGGGCTGCACGGTCTCTTGGAAGAGCATCATCTTGTCGACAGTCGACTGCAGGCTGGGAATCACATTGCCAATAGTTCCCGTGAAGTCGAGGATAACCGTCTTGATGGCCTTGAGCCTATCGAGCTCGCAGCGCTCAAGGAACTTGAGATGCAGGAAGATGAGCTCCTCAAGTTCGCAGCGGAGCTCGTCGAGCTTGCGCACACCGGCCTTGTACTTCTCATCGGCCTCCCTCGCCTCGCGCTGCAGCCGCTGGGGAGCAGTCTCTCCAGGATGAGAGTTGCTGAGCACGTTCCAGTTGGACAAGTACTCGCTGACCGTTCCCACCACGGGTGACGAGTCGCCGCCATCTGAGCCTGTAGTAGGCATGGAAAAGGTCCGGCCGAGCGTCTGCTTCTTCTCGGGGATTCCGGCAAGCTGGAAGGCCTTGGGCCTCCACTGGTAAAACATTTTGGAAGAATTGGCAAACGTGTTGCCGACGTTTCCGATGAGTCGCAGCATGCCATTGGAGATGAGGTCTTGTCCGATCCTCTCAGCATAGCTGACACTCGTGGTTCCCATGCTTCGCTGGAGATACTCGACAATGTCCGAGCCGGATGACGTGTTGAGGTAGGTACCGAGGATGGGCACCTTGGTCTCTCCCATCTTGATCGTCGACAGCATCTGGGAGAGGATCTTCTTCATTTGCTCGGGCTGGTAGACGTCGTCGCCGATCTCGTAAACCTCGTCGTTCTGGGATTCTTCCTCCTTGTGGGGCTGGACCTTGATCTCGGGAATCGGCGGGGCGTTTGGCTGGTTCTGCTTGGGGCTGGATTCGGGGTCCTGGAAGGCGAGCTTGTTCTCCTCTTCCAGATCTTCCACCAGTCGGCACTTGTTGAAGTAGTTTGAGCGGAGCTTCTTGACCGCCTCGGCTTGCTTGTCGTGCGCCTTGATTCGCAGCTGGAGAACATCTTGAGAGTCCTGGATGCGCGTCTCGTGCGCATCGCACCATCGAGAAAAGGGGTTCACGACCAAGTCGCGGATGTTCTTGGCGATTCGGATGTGGCTTTGCGAAGCCTCTTGCATCTCCGCTCGCATGCCATCGTAGGCCTATAGAGAGTTTCGGTGTTAGCGATCTCACCGTCCACCGCGGCCCGTGTATGGATGCGAATCGCAGCGGCGCAGCCTGGTAATCGGTTTGCTTGACTGACCTTGCGAACGGTGGCGCCATCGTCACGATTAAAGCCACCCGACAGCTTGTCTGCGGCGGGCGCAATATCAGCGAGGCGCTGGCCATACGCTTCCTCGGCCTCGGCGCGCAGCCGAGCTATGGTCAGCACCTGGCGATTCTCTACAACGCCCTGCTGGAGCTTGCTGAAGAGGACACCGAGCCCTGGCGACGGTTAGACAAAGACGCCAGCGAGCAACTGCCACGAGAATGTGAGGGGAAATAAATACCAGCAGCATAGTCATTCGACCAGAAGGAGTCGGCGAACCCAGGCATCGTCGTCTACTCGAACTGTTCAGCTGCAGGATCATGCGATGGAGACGTCGGACAGCCGTGGGGCTTCGGTTCGAATGGGGGGTGGCTGTTGTCCCTCTCTCTGTCTCACTCGCTATTGGCGAGTTTGGAGTAAAAAAAAAAAGACTCGCCAGGAGCTCGTCTATCGTGAAGAACCAAGGCTCGTGTACGGCGGGCGGCACTCGCGAGAGAAGGCCGAAAACGTAGGAAGAAGGATGTAATCGAAGATAAAGGGGGACGGCCTGAGAGACGAGGAGGGAAAAAAAAGAAAAGACACAAATCAGCGCGCCAGAGTGGTATGAACGAACTCCAAGCGGTTGCGAATAGGAAAGACGATGATGAGCTTGGTGGAGAAGAAACGAGATGCAAGCCGGCGAGCAACAGAAAGCAGGAGAGAGAGAGAGGAGACTGGAGAAGAGCTTTCGCAGAAGGCTCGAGAACAAAGAGAGGCAGCGCGCTGGTGGTCCGCAAGTGGGCAGCTGTGAAGAAATGCAGGCTGGTCGAAGCAGGTGAGAGGAGGTTCACATGGATCCAAGGATGGAGGGCGGCCAGGGATCTTTTGGCGGCGAAACACGAAACAGCTGGGCTGTTAGCGCCTGGTAGCAGCAGCCCGGGCAGCACCTCAGCCAGGTACAGTACCAGACAGTGCTGGTACGGGGGGTCAGAGGAGTCTCTACAGGGGTCTCTACAGTATGGGTACGGGTATCAAGGCACTTGATCACTGCTCTGACCTCCACTGCCTGAGGCTGTACAGAGACACCCGACATGCAGGCTTCAAGTGCTCCATGCTTTGTATTACAAGGGCGGGCATCACCGGTTGTTAGGCCATGACGGGCCATTGCCTAGGCTCCCCTATTTTTTCATGCTCTTCTGACAAGTACTCTTCTGAGTCCATTTCCCTCTTCTCTTCTCCAAGTCAAAGAGGCCAACAGACGCTGCAATATCACGGCAGACTCCAGCAGCCCCAGGTCGTCCAATTCATGCTGGTGCTGACTGTGCTGGCGCAATCTAGACAAGTACCTAGTAGTGCTATCTCTGCTAGTGGTGGACTTGGGCACGCCGTGCTTGTGAAAAGGGCTTCACAGGCCACGGCGGCTGGCCAACGAGCACCCAGATGTTATAAATAGCACGCCGTAGTCATCATTGTGGCTACTGTATGGCTGATACCTCATAAGATCGCACAACGGTTCGCTCCGGTCTATAGGTAGGCAGTAGTAGGTGTCGTTCTACTCGCGCTCCTCATCACAGGCTTGTGAGCATCCCGAGAGGGAGGTACTTCACGCCCCGCAGATACCTCAGGTAATGACCCTTGTACCTGTACTGTACGAGGACGCTCCTGGTTTCACCGGCATGCTGACGCAGCTCTGAAATGCACTCGAGGCCCTCTCGGCATCTTTGACAGAGCACGGGCCACGTTTGTCTCCTTCGTATTACCTTCCCTTTAGCTAACATTCTGCGGCTGCCGGTTTGCTTTCACCGTCTCATCAGACCCGGTCACCGCTGATTTTGACTCTTGATTAGGTGCACATGGTCTGGCTGCGACCTCAAGTTCGACTTTTGCCTATAGTACTCTGACCGGAAGGGAAATATCTAAGGTATTTACTATACCCTCCGTACTATACTCAGTACCTACTAGTCAGCGTGAACGGTGAGCACAGATAAGTCGAGCCCTCTTGCTTTAGCTGGAAAGCCACGCGAGCTGCTATTATTAGGCGCCTTTGGTAGTACCTGCGTAAGGCAACCAGGAGCGGGTCGAAGACGGTTCTTGCAGACAAATACCTGCCAGGGCCAGCAGATAGGTAGGCATAGTACTACCTACTTGTACTATCAGTGGTTCGAAGCACCTGGAGGAGATCAACCTATCCAGGGCAGGTGGGTGCGGTGAAGAGCTGTGTGTGCCTTGCCTTCAGCCTCGGAAGAAGCGACGTGTGCATCCACCAGCTGTGGGGGTTGAGTCTTCGAGAGTACGAGTACTAACATGTACCTTACAAATAAAGCAACTACATCTTAGGATTTTAGATACCATTGCTAGCAAATCACCAGAACAAAACCTCTGATGGACCTGCAAGAACAAATACCAAGACAGCTCCTCCCTTGCCTCAAGAATGGCGTCATCGCGAGATCCCCCCAGGAAGGTGCCCAGGCCTGTAGAGATATGGTAGTACCAGAGCTTTAGTAATAAACCCAGCATCAACTCAAGTACTTCGTACAATTCGGGAATTGAGATAGGGCAAGTGCAGTGGTCAACCTCTCTTCCTCCTCCTCCTCCTCCTCCTCTTCCTCTCTCCTTATCTCGAGTCACGAGCAGCGTCACGCCGCTCAACCCCTTCCGATCCAATGACTGCCAAATCACACGCCATCCTGCCCACGGCGGGCAGCCCAGACTATCGCAACCCGAGTGCCGCCAACAGTCACGCGCAACAACCGCCGCACAGGCCAAACCTCAAGAAGCTCGCCCTGGGCGCATCGCTGGCTCTCGCAACCATCGGCCTGCTGTATAAGCCGGCCTTCAGTCACTACCAGCGAATCTCTCAGCACTCGTGCTCCAAGACGCTGACAGTCGAGGAGAGGGCTCACAAGATCCTGTCGACCACGCCTTTGATTGGTAAGTTAATGAATATCGCCCTGCCCTTGGCTGAAGCCGGAAGCTGACAAACGCCTCCTCGCCAGATGGTCACGTCGACTTCCCGCTTGTTCTCCGTGGCCCGTACGGGAATCATCTCACTGGAGATGACTTCACTGGCCCCTTTGAGAATGGGACGCTCAAGGGCCACGTCGACCTCGCTCGGCTGAGGGCCGGCCGCGCTGGGGGTGCCTTTTGGAGCGTGTACGCGCCGTGCCCTGCAAACGGCACCGACTTTTCGGATGACAACTATGCTGATAGTGAGTAAGAATATTCTTGACTATCCCTGTGTTGCATTGTATTGACGACTAATGTGCCCTCATCAAACAGGCCTGCAGTTCACGCTGCAGGAGATTGACATCATGAAGAGGTTATTCGCCGCATACCCGGATGACTTTGCTCACGACATTGACAGCTCCGATGCCATTGACGCCTTCCGAGCCGGGAAGCTCATCTCCCCCTTGGGCATCGAAGGCCTTCATCAGATTGCCAACCTGGCTGGCAACCTGCGCATGTTTCGCGACCTCGGCGTGCGATATGCGACCCTGACGCACAACTGCCACAACAAGTTTGCAGATGCAGCTCTGCTGGAGAGCCCCTTTCGGAAAGCAACCCCCGTCTGGGGCGGCATCAGCCCCCTTGGCCGGCAGCTGGTTCACGAGATGAATCGGATCGGCATGATTGTCGATCTTGCTCACGTCAGGTATGTCACTAATAGTAGTTGCATGTGCATGTGCAGCATAACCATTTGCTTACGAAATGCTCTCTTTTTTGTCCATTGTAGCGAAGATACAATGATTGATGCCCTCGGTGGCAGAGAAGACTGGGAAGGGTCCAAGGCACCCGTCATCTTCTCCCACAGCTCGGCGTACGGCATCTGCCCTCACCCGCGCAACGTCAAGGACAAGGTGCTGCAGCTAGTCAAGGAGACCGACTCCCTGGTCATGGTCAACATTGCCCCCCAGTTCATCTCCTGCATTGACAACGGCAATGACAACGGCGTCCCCGACGAAGACCCTGACAACGCAACCCTAGAAAGGGTTGTCGACCACATCACGTACATTGGAAGCCGCATTGGCTATGATCATGTCGGCATCGGCACCGACTTTGACGGCATTGGCTCGGTCCCCAAGGGTCTGGAGGACGTTTCCAAATATCCTGACCTGATTGCCGAGCTCCTGCGACGAGGAGTCAGCGACGCCGACGCCGCAAAAGTGGTGGGTGACAATCTGATCAGGGTTTGGAAGGCCGTGGATGCCATCTCCGCCGAGATGAAGGCCAACGGCGCGCCCGTCATGGAAGACAAGCTGTAGAGCAGCAGATCGTGCAGACCAGTGTGTGGCGTTGTCATGAGCGGCAGAAGATGTAGTATGTGTGCAGTGTTTTTGCGGTATGTTTCAGTTGCTTGCCCACCGTTCGTCGTCGTATATACATATATCATACAGGGCCCAGTATTTGCAGGCCGTTTTCTTTCTATTTTCGACACATTTCCATGCTGTAATTCGCAAAGCCCGTTTGTATTTCTTTCTTTCCCGGCCCAAACTCCGCGTCGCCTCCGCCGCAACATCAGCTTGAAACCAGGTTCTATGCCCTGCGATCCACCCTGTTGAGCTTGTTGGCCGTGGCCGTCTGTGTTCTCGTCCGCTGGCCACGGACGGGCAAACCCATGGCATGCCGTCTACCGCGGTACGACCCAATGTCTTTCAGCCTCCGGATATTCTCCTGGACTTGTCTCCTTGCGTCTGATTCTATAGACATTTGCGACAGTTCGGCCGTGAGCGAGGTGACCGTCTTGGGCGATAATGAGCCGACTTTGGCGAGGTTGTGGATCGAGTACTTGGCCATGATGCGGGCGGATGTGGTTGGGCCGAGGGCGTAGAAGGACTCGAGGGCTTTCTATACGAAGGAAATTAGAGGTTAGACGGTGGCCATCTTGATCGGATCGTGAGCCTATGGGTAGGTACCTTGACCAGCTGGCCCTCGTGGAAGCTGACTCCCAGGATGAACACCTGAAGAGAAACGGTTAGCTCAGCGATAAATTTTCAAGTAATGTCAATGGCAAGAGACAGTGTACCATCTTGTGTGTTTGTGCTAGATTACAAGTCGTTATTTGTCAAAAAGCATCCGCAATGTGTCGTCTGTGTCTGTCCTGGGTATAATTCCTCCACACTCTGAATACCTCGTTCCGAGCTTCTTTCTTCAAAGGCGTTGCGATGGAAAGGTTCGCTGCCGGACGGCTAAAAAATGGCTAAACTTGCCGGGCACTTCGACATTGCAATGGAAGTACGTACTGGTAGTAGGTACCTCTGTACCTGGACACCTGTAAATGCCGAGCGGCCTAAAGAGGCAGGAAGCAGGCTAGGGGACCAGTGTGGATCTGGACAATAGCAGCGCAGCCATTGATTGCCTGAAGTCGATGCTTGGGAGCGGGCAGGTGCGTGGTGGGCAAGCGGGGAAGGCGCAGATGCGACGCAGACCACTAAGCAGGGGACGAGCATATGTGTCCATTTAATGAACCTATCAAGTTGTCCTGCAGTGTCTGGTATAAGTTCAGTTTACTCCCCGACTCTCGCTCTGCCAATTCTTGGCTGCTTTCTCGACAAGAACATCTCTCATAGAACAGAACCGACGCGACAACATCCACCATGCTGACCTTTAGGCGGCTCTTCACCACCGCCATCGTCCTGGTGGTGGGCCTGCTCTTCTTCGTCAAGACGGCCGAGGCCGCCAAGGGCCCCAAGATCACCCACAAGGTCTTCTTCGACATTGAGCACGGCGACGAGAAGCTGGGCCGCATCGTCCTGGGCCTGTACGGCAAGACGGTCCCCGAGACGGCCGAGAACTTCCGGGCCCTGGCCACCGGCGAGAAGGGCTTCGGCTACGAGGGCTCGACCTTCCACCGCGTCATCAAGCAGTTTATGATTCAGGGCGGCGACTTTACCAAGGGCGATGGCACCGGTGGCAAGTCGAGTAAGTTGCCTTTGGTTCCCAAATAAGCAATCAATTGATCAATCAATTGGGTGGCATGGCGTTTGTCACTGCATCTGGCTCTGGCTCTGGCTAACCTTGAGGGCTCCGTCTAGTCTACGGCAACAAGTTCAAGGACGAGAACTTCAAGCTGAAGCACACCAAGAAGGGCCTGCTGTCCATGGCCAACGCGGGACCCGACACCAACGGCTCCCAGTTCTTCATCACCACTGTTGTTACCTCGTATGATTTCCCCACCCTCCTTGGAAGATCCTGGATAAGAAGTAGGACCAATCTAACGAACAACTTAAACAGATGGCTCGACGGCCGACACGTCGTCTTCGGCGAGGTTCTCGAGGGCTACGACATTGTTGAGAAGATTGAAAACGTCCAGACCGGCCCCGGCGATCGCCCAGTGAAGCCGGTCAAGATTGCCAAGAGCGGCGAGCTGGAGGTTCCCCCCGAAGGTATTCACGTCGAGCTCTAAACTGTCTCACTGCCTGCACACACGCACTCGTACACGCACACGCACACGCACACACAAACACGGTGTCTCCAACTCTTCCGTCCCCTGTCACTTGGTATGCTGATGAATTTGGTTTGAAATTCAGAGCTCCTCGAGACGGCTGGCCTGGTTGACGCAGCGGGATCCTCGGACGCTGTTGACTCGGACGTTGGCGGTGGATCTGGAGCGCTGCGAGTGCTGCTGTTTGGCGCCGTTGCTGTCGGCGTTGTCGGCCTCTTTGTGCGAATGAGGAAGTCGGGCGGCGCTGTGCACGCAAAGTCGCTGGCCTGATGTAGTGAGAGTGCGAAAGATGTGAATAGAGAGTACAATTTTGGCTACCAAGGCTTGTGATTTGCCAAATGAAGGCTTGATCTCTGTTGCCGGTTGAAGGCGTGCAATCTTGTGTATGTTTATGCAGTGATGATGATTTGTCTGTTGCGCTGAGGGAGCGTGTTGAAAGGAGAGATTGTATGTGTCACGTGGGTCGTGCAACTTTTGGTGCAAAAATCGATTTACTAGTATTAGAGCTTGGACAAGGGAAAATGTTGCAGAGCGGGCCAGTAAGAAATTCTTTTGACAGGATCCACGTCGATTTCACTTACAGCCTCTTAAGCGCCACTCCAATACTACGAAGAACAGTCTGAAGTGAAACACAAGACATAGAAGAAACAATAAGGATCAACAAAGAGAAGGGATCAACAAAGGCAGCGAAAATGAAGGTCCTCAGCCTCAATTTCTTGACCTGCGCCGTCAAGGCCTGCAAGTCGTCTTCCAGCTCGTACCCTCTGCATCCCCGGGACGCGGAGCTGGTGCAGGATGAGATTGAGGTGAACCCGGATATGCTCGTCAATGTGCTGCCGCGGTTGGATTGGGCGGCTCTGCGGACGACTTCGTCAGAGGTATGTGTTCTTTTTTTTTTTTTTTTTTTATGTTTTGATTTTTTTGTTGGGCTCATGTTTTGTTTGTCTTGTTGGGTGTTGATTCGTTCCATGGGCTGGGATGTTATGGCAATGTCATGATATATCATTGTGATGGATGGGAGGAGAGAACACGAGAGCGATGGAAAGAGAGGATGGTGAATGGAAAGAGAAGGATCTCGGCATGAGAGAGAAGAAGAAGAAGAAGAAGAAGAAGAAGAAGAAGAAGAAGAAGAAGAAGAAGAAGAAGAAGAAGAAGAAGAAGAAGAAGAAGAGGAAGAAGAGGCACAAGATCATGATGAGGACGATGATGAGGAAGATGATGAGGAAGATGATGAGGAAGATGATGAGGAAGATGATGAGGAAGATGATGAGGAAGATGATGAGGAAGATGATGAGGAAGATGATGAGGAAGATGATGAGGAAGATGATGAGGAAGATGATGAGGAAGATGATGAGGAAGTTGATGAGGAAGATGATGAGGAAGATGATGAGGAAAAAGATGCAAAAGCTAACTCTCGAGACAACATAAACAGCTTGGATTCCCGCCCCTGCCCGAGCAGCCGCCCACGCAAGAGGAGCTGCGGGCCGACGACAAGCTGGTGCGCGACCTGCACCACCTGCTGCTGGAGACGCAGATTTCCGAGGGCAAGCTGGTGTGCGCCAACTGCGGGCACGAGTACGCCGTCAAGGAGGGCATTGCGAATTTCCTGCTGCCGAGTCATTTGGTCTGAGCCGTCTACCAAAAAGGTGAGCCACTCTTTTACTTGTTTTTTTTTTTTTTTTTTTTTTTCCTTTTCTTTTTGAATGGGGATGGGCAAGATGGGAGGATGATGGCGGGTGGGTGGCCGTGTTGTTGTTGTTGAATGTTGATATTGACCGATGTGACTAGAGTGTAGGTGGTTCAAGTGAAAAGGGGAGGCAACGTTGCTGGGACTCGATGAATTATTTGGGGTGATGGGAGTATGGGCGTTTGTTTCGGTCAATGAAAAAAAGAAAACATGTTGGTCACGGAGGATATAGAAGAGGGCACAGAAAGAAGGGGCAAGGAAGAAAATAGAGGCGACATTCCATGATAACGCAATCTAATTCTTGATATGGATCAAAGACAGCAAAAAGCAAGACGCAGCCACATTGTTGACGAAACCACAAGGAAATTATTGTTACAAGAGTCTCAAGCATACCCTCGCTACAACACAATGCTCTTCCATCACCAAGCAGACAGCACAGATGCAGCCGCTACTGGTTCTTCTTCTGGGCGGCCGGACCCATGTCCTTCTCAAACGCACCGTACGACACCTCCAGACTTCCCAGAGCTCTGAGTCCAACGCTGAGAATAGACAGCAAAACGATCGCCGTGATGAGCGCCATAAAAATGCCTGCGTCTCCGGGGTTAGTCCATCAATTACAGCCTCTCCATCACAGACCAAGAGTGTCGTCATTGCTTACCAGGGGTGAAGAACTGGTACTTTTCGAAAATGGGGAGCTTATCCCATTCAGTCTCGTTCTTCGACTGCGGCTTCTGCGCGTTGTCGACATCCCTCTTCAACTCCATGCGGACAGCTTCCTCGAACTCGGCTTCGTACGCTGGCTCGCCCGGGGTCGAGAAGAAGATGAACGTGTAGCTGTCGTCCGCCGTGGCCTTGTCGAGATTGTGCGCGAGTATGTCATCTGCCATTTGTATTAGCAACAACCATCAAGGCCAACCAATGCACGCCCCGGTAATGACGAACCGTTGGAAGCCCATGCGCCGGCTCTGTCCTCCAAGGACAGGGGAGGCAGCTGCACTTGGTCCACGGTAACCGCCTTGTTCTCCTTGGCACAGACCGACTTGATGTAGTCTGACAGGTCTGCACCTGCGAGATCCCCAACCACTTCGGACACAATGGCCTTGCCCTTGATTCGCTTATCGTCGACGGCCTGGCACAGGTGCGGCATGGCACAGCCATTGGATCTCCGGATGTCCTCCGTGTTCAAGCCGGGCTGGGACACAATGAGGTAGCGATCGGTTGGGCACGTCGCCAGGACGTCTCGGGTGAAGCCCAGTACTGAGGAGCTGGTCTGGATCTGGTCTGCGCTAGGAGCCTTCGCAAAGCTGCAAGAGATGTCAGCGCCTCGGCCTCGCACCAAAGAGGCATGCATGCATCATCATCATCATCATCGTATCGAGAGCAAGTGTAAACCACCAGTGACGAAAGCTTACGGAGTCGTTGACAAGAGAATCCATGGCGAGGAATCGTAAAAGGCGTTTGCTGCGCCGGACAGCGCCAAAAGGCTCGCAACCGTCTGGAGATGCATGGCCGCGACTTTGTGGTCTGTGGTTCCTGGCCAGCAGACGACGGGATTCTGGGTTGCAGATTATGAGGCCGAGACTTGGGGAGAGCTCCGGAGGTTGCGACAAACGCGTTGCATCATCCGCCCGAGTTATGCATATACCGGTGCTATTGCTTCATCCGAGGAGGCTCGAAGCGGGATCCCCTTGCGTCTGGAGCGGGCTAGTACCGATCAGGCAGTGCTTTGAGCAGCTAAGCAATCTGCATTGATTAAATGGTCCATTGCCAGATTATTTTGTTCAGATAACGAAATCTTGGAAGGCTACGAGGTACCAAAGTACTTTATCGCAGACAAGGAACACTGAAATTTTACGACCACGACGAGGTGCAGAGTTGGAGCATCAGGAAGCACTTTGAACAATATCAACTGAGGAAAAGGAAGAACAAAACGTCATCACAAAAAAGGAAACCATGTTTGCAAAGCCGAGACCAAAGAAGAGCGTCCTGCCACCCCCGAGCAAGAAGCGCAAGTACGGCGTTGAGCAAGTCTCCTTCGACTTTGACGCTCGCCACGAGTATCTCACCGGCTTCCACAAGCGGAAACAGCAGCGCATAAAGCAGGCCCAGGAAGAGGCCGCCAAGCGGGCGCGGGAGGAGAGGCTCAGAACCAGGGCACAGGTAGGCACACGATTCGGCGATTTGCTTCTTCCACTTGTCAGTCAATTGGTCTAACGGGTGACTGTCGTGGGGGAAATAGATTCGAGAAGAGCGCAAGCGAGAGGTTGAGCAGCACGTCGAGCACGTCAACAAGCTGCTTCGGGAATCTGGCGCGATCGAGGCCGACGACACGGAGGAGCAATCGGGTGAGGAGGCCGAGGCAAACGACGGAGAGTGGGACGGGTTCCCAGATCGACCGAATCTCGACATTGTGGATCACGAAGAGGAGTACATAGACGAGGATCGATATACGACAGTCACCGTCGAGTCCGTCTCAATATCGCGAGACGGCTTAGAACGCCCGGAGAAGCCCCAAGAGAAGGCTGAGGAAGAGGAGCAGAAGGGAGACGCGGACAAGGCGCCTCAGGAACAACCAAAAGGCCCCGCAAGGCCCAAGAAGAAGAAGCAAAAGTTCCGTTACGAATCCAAAATTGAGCGGCAGCTCACGGAGAGGAGGCAAAAGGCCAAGAGCAAAGCAAAGAGCAAGGCGCGGAGATCAGAGTAAAGAGGTTTGGAGCACGGAAATAGTTGGCCAGCGTCAGTAGCAATCTATAGATACCCCTGAAGAGCAACACGAAAGGGGGGAGAAAGGGCAAAAGGAACAAGCAATACAGGACAAGGACACAAAAGGCAGGAAAAACTTGACATGGCGACGAAACACGTAATCGTTGTAATGCTGCTGCTGCTAAACATGGCGCTTCCCGGTGACACCTGAATCTTCTCTATCAAACACGTACCCTCCACAACATCTTACATTATTCCTGTCGAGGTGCTTAAGAGGGATGAAGCCGCACGGACGGCGAGTGTTGAGCGACCCAAAAAAAAAGAAAAAAGTAGTGTACTGCCCAGCGATCACATTTAGATGTTTCCGATCTCGTTCTGGAGCTCCTCCAGCTCCTTCTGCAGGTCGGCGTGCTTCTTGGCCATCTCCTCGTACTTCTGCTCCCACTGGTCGCGCTCGTTCTCAAGGGCCTGGACCTTGCGTTCAAAGTGTCCGGCCTTGACGTCGGTCTGTCGGAGCCTATCATCGACACGTTAGCGGGAGAGCTTGGTGCAGCAGGGGCGGGGCGTAGATGAGATATGGGGGAGCGGGCTGGATGCAGCGACGGGGTTCGGCATCAAACGTACTTCTCGTTGGCCTCGCGCAGGGTCTTGTCGGCCTCCTCAGCCTCCTCCTCGAGCAGCTGCAGTCGTCGCTGCAGGGTCTCGTTCTGGGTTCCGTGCTCCTGTCCTTCGTCGGCCACCTTCTTGAAGTCCTTGATGGCCGTCTCCAGCTTCTCGACCTCGCCCTCGAGGAGGCCGTTCTTGTGCTGCAGGGACGTAATCTCCTGCTCCTTGGCAAGGTTCTCCTGCTCGAGCGCCTTGACCTTGTTCTGGAGCTCCTCCACCTTGGCGATGGCCTCGTCGGCCTCCAGGCGGAGCGAGTTCATTTTCTAGCTCATGCCGTTAGCCCCGAATCTGGTCGCGAGACGCGCAAGCTGCAGGAGCATATAGGTATATGCTGTTGTTTCTCTGGGGGGGGATGTTTTACCTCCTTGATGCGATCCATTGTTGCAGCGGTGAGATGGTCGGGTTGTGTCTTAGGTGGTTTGTTGTTCTGGGAGTTGAAGTCGGGAGGGAGCTCGAGCGAGAGAGGATTCGGAGTTGTAATATGTAAAGGTCGAGTTGTCGAGACGGGCCTGGAAAGGGGGTGGGGTAAAGGAGAGTTGTCTTTGATGCCCCTCTGCGAATACCTGCGAGTAGGTACAGCGCAGGTACCCCGACAATGTACCTGGACGGCGATACCTGATGCCTGCTGCCTCTTCTGTGGCCCGCGCCCCGCAGAGCCTCGGGCTGCCGGTACTGCAATAGCACCACCTGAAGCCGGCCTCGACTTCCAGCAGTGCACGGTGGAGGATGTACCTGCTGGGTACTCGGACGGCCTGGTGCTAAGGCGGTACTACTACCCCCAATTTGACCACGAGGTTCCCCATACTGTCTACCTACCTACTCAACGGCATCTATTACTATCTGCCTAGGTCGGTCCAAGGAGCAGAGGTAGGAAAGGATATAACCAATCCATGCAAGGCGTCCAGTATGTTTTTTGGGGAAAACATGACAACAAACAAGAGTCGCATGAATCTGACGGGTTCTTAGCCGGGTCGAGGCTGGTCAAGTGATGCTGCAAGTGTCGCCAAAATGGGATGATGACAGCCTCTGGGCCACTTGCCGCAAACCACCTGAAGCACATGCAATTGATGAGATACTTACTCACAGAAGGTAGGTAAGTACTACGAGTAAGTACGACTACTGCTTCCTCAAAGCGAGCTGTAAGATACTAGATACTTATGCTACAGGAGGTGAAGACTCCGTAATTCTTGCTGGAGCCAAAGAAAGGCAGATCAACTGCGACATGTCATGCGAGATTGGGTCATTTTCTCTCTGATTGACTGCTGCTCCTTTGGAAAGAACAAGCCACACTGACCTCCCTGCAGCCTTTTCCTCTCTAATATCCGTGCTTTTCCCTTACACAGGTAGTAGAGGTAGTTCTTATTTCCTCTTTCCTTCCACGCTTATCGATTGGTCTGAACCAAGCTTGGATCCCCACCTAAGCGATGCTACCGCCAGAAACTGTAATCGGCTAGCACTAATGCGGTATTATGTGGGGAACCTGTTTGCCGTTGCCTGGTCGACTCTGAAAGCGACATCGCAAGTAAACGCGCCAATTCACATGCACCATAGCCAAGACTTGTCAAAATTACCTACGAATCAATGCTCCAGATCATCATCAGCGCTAGCAAGAAGCGATCCTCACGTTGACCACTTCCTTTTGCAGGCACATATCATTCGACACGATTCATTATCAGGCACACAAAGCAATAACCATCCCGCCGGAAATCGCCGCGCACACTCACAATGCTCGCTGCGCATCGCGACGAGCAGGAGAACCGGGTGCTCAGTCACCAGGTTCCCGCCAAGCAGCAGCCAAAGACGCCCGGCATGCGGTGCCCCAAAACGCCAATGGGCATTGGGCGAGGCGACGAGAATGCCTTGGCCGGATTGGCAGCCAAGAAGACCATCCAGGGAGCAATCAACCTTGGAGAGAACCAAAAGTTCATTTCCAAGAAAGCCATGATGACCCCGGCAGGTGTGTAACCCTGCCTGGGACGTTGATCGATATCTTCACGGACATCATCTAACCAGGCAAGCAGGGCCTCGGACACGAGCTCCCTTGGGAAACAAAACCACAAACGCCAAGGCGACAAATAACCTAGGGCTCGGAATCGGCGGCAAGGGTGCCATCAGAGAGCTCGAGAAAACGCAATCCAGAAACGCCACGTCTCAACGGCGCAAGCACAAACAGCAGCATAGGAAAGCTGAGCAACTGGCGTCGAAGGGGCTTCTGTTCAAGCTCAGAGATGGCCACGATCGGGACCAGGACGAACCCGAATACGCACCTCCCAACCCTGAACCTCTACCGTATCAGTCCGATGTCTTTCCGCGCGACGGCCTGACCCTTAAGGGCCTGGAGAAAGCGAATCTGCTCAAGGGCTACTATGAGCACTTCTACAACCCCATCGACGACGCTGGTGTATCACGCGCCGAACGACGGCTCCAGGCAGAAACGGAGGCGGCGATTCAGAAGGCTATAGAGCGCAACGAGCAGGACACGGAAGAGTTTGACTGGAATAGTGCCGACATCTCGGTCGACCTGGAGCGAGCCAGTCCAGACAAGTCAACAGTACCACCACGGACAACTAGGGTAAACAAGATGCCCGTCACCGCGGAAGACCTGTCCCAGGATGAGTCCTCGACCCTGCCTGTGATGGCTACCAGAGCAGCCGGATCTGCTTCGTCTGGGAAGCCCATGGCCCCATCAAGGCATCTCAATGATCAAAGCCACATGGCCACTCGGTCGTCGAGGCATCGGGCTGCTAACGCGGCTGTAGAGCATTCATCACCCTTGGTCCTTCGCAGTCGAAGAGATAGTGCCTCTTCGCAGGTGGCCTGGAGAGACTCTGAGGTTGATGAGCCGGCTTACATGATGGGATCCCCCCGTCAGAAGTCGTCCAATGATGCGGCAACAGATGACCTCGCTCACCTTGAATTCCCTGTCGACTCTGATGATGAAGATGCCGGGGTCAATCTTTCATTGCTCCGTACGCCGCGCAGGGACTCGTGCGATGAATCCTTGTACGAGTTGACCTTTGACGTCTAGACCCCCGATATTATTTATCTTCTGCGATAGACGAATCATCATGGTGGCAGTTCTCATAAGGTTGAAGCGACGACGTCCTTTGCGAAACAAAACCGACGCGTGCGCTACCGTGCATCACCATTGTTGTCTCTACAAATTACGGGGTTTAATCAATACCTACCTTGATTTTCAATCTCATCAGGTACTGCTATCCACAACCGAAGCATGCATGTGATGAAAGACTGTAGGTGCAACTGCGAGATGCGAAGCATCGGGGCCCTGCTAATTCTTTGTGAGCACGGAGCAGGAACTAGTAGGTGTGCCTGCGCTCATACAGCCAATGGACGAAAGAGCTGTTATGCACATTGACAAGTAGAGCTCCTGTTCAAAGGCAGCTTTGCTTTGTTTGTCTTGTTTGTTCTGTTCTTTTCAAACGCCTAGCGGAGACAGCAACTCGCCCTTTGAGGCACATGTGAATGGAGGCTGATGTTGGAGGAGGGTGGAACAGTCTCTCTCACCAGGAGGAACAAGACAAACAAAAAAGAGAGCATGAAACCTTCTATTTACGACAAAGAATGCATCATCATTTCTGGAAAGATGATAATTCAAAGCCCGCATAAGACTTGTTGATATATTATCAAACCCACGTAGAATCGAGAAGCTGAATAGGTACAGTACGGATATGTGCTTCAAGGCACCTTGCCTGCCCACTCAGAGGTGCAAATTCGAGACACTGTACTACGACCACAGCAGGTACCTACTAGGTAGTACCTTACAGTAGTGCCTAGCACCGGAACATCGTAGCTCCTCGCCCCGCGAGGCCAGACAACCCACCTTGCTGACTACGCCGAAAAGAGCATCCCCAGAGCAATCCCGTCCCTTTTCAAGGCCGGAAACGCTCAACCTCGCTCGTGGCCACGGCATTTCTCTCGCCGCATCACCAGCTCAGCCTCGCATCCTCGCGCTCGTCAACCATTGCGCCGCGGTCGCCAACGGCGCCTCTCCCACCAGCCCGGCCTTTTGCCACGCCTGCCCGCCCTGCGACTCGGCGCACGCTCGCCCATCCAGCGCCTCAATTTTGCAGCGCTCCTCTGCTTCCTCAGGTCGCGTGGGCGCCCTAGCGCGTACCACAGAAGAGAAGCCCGCCTGCCCAGCCTCGGCGGAAGGGATGCATGGCAAGCCTGACCAGACCCTGAGCGAGGTATCATGAGCACGCCGCGGCTCTCGAGATAGCAGGAGCTCGTCGACACGATGACTCGCCCGCCGCCCGGCGTGAGCTTCGCGCAGTTCTTCCCCAACGCCCCCAAGCTCAAAACAGAGGTCCAGGGACGTGCCGACCGAGACCGGCTGAGGCGGCCGCAGGAACCAGCCGTCGGGACAGATGCCATCGATGCGAATGATCCCGCTCCGCGCTGCCAAAACCCTGCGGCCTCTTCCTTGTTCACCTCCTCATCAGCATCAGCAGGAGCCCCAGATCCCACCCAGCCGCCCGCCGACGACAACGGCTCGTCGCCGGGCGATATGCCGAGCGTGGCCTCAACCAGCTCCCATGCCAGCTCTGCTTCTTCCGTCTTCAGCGGCTCTGCCTTGCCAGCTGCGACAGCCGCGTCCTCCGGACCATCCATGAGCGCGACCCCCTTCGCCTCCACAGACTCGCCCTCCTCCCTTCACGCGCCTGCGAAATCAAGCATGCCTACGCCCGCCATCGTCGACCGGGCTCTGGGCCCCCAGTCGGAGACTGCCGCATCCGCCGGCCACCCCCCGTCGCAGGACAGGACCCCGTCGACGGAACGCATCCCTGCTCGAGATCCTTTGCCCTCGATCAAAGGCATCAAATGCATACATGACCCGCTCCTCGATCGACTCCGCAAAAAGGTTGTCAACAAGTCCGCGAAACCAGTCTACAAGGAGTTTGGCTTGGTACGTACACGTATACACACATACATAAATACATTTCCTCTGCTGCCAGGGGGGGCGTCACTTGTTTTGGAGCGCTGATGGCTAATCGTTGGAACAGGAAGATGACGCCCCCCCTGCGGATCCGCGCCTGGCAAAGGCGGGAGATAGGCTGGGTTATATCAACACGGATTACTACCTGCCCAAGGCTCGTCTGCGCCATGCTCCCGAGAATCTCAAGCCGTATCCCTATGATCCGAAAACCTCCATCGGCCCCGGCCCTCCAACGCAGGTCCTGGTGACCAAGTACAACCCTCTGGTGTCGTTCAACAAGGTGATTGCCATTTTCGCCGCCTTTGGTGAGATTGCAGAGAGCAGCAACAAGATGCACCCTGATACGGGCAGCTACCTCGGCTTTGCAACTATTCGATACCGCGACTCGAAGCGCCCGGACCGTCCGCGGGTGTCCGCCATTGACGCCGCGCGACGCGCCGTTCGCACTCGAGGCATCAAGGTCGACGCCGACGTCGTCAAGGTGGAATACGACCCCGAAGGTCGCAAGAGCCGGCGCATGCTGGAAGAAGTCCTCAAGCGGGAGAGGGAGAAGCTGGCCAACGAGTCGGCACGGACAAAGGCCCCTCCTACCGGGCCCAGGTCCGCCACCGCGCCCGGCTTCTTCAGGCCACCGCCAACCGCACCCAAGGGTCTGGCGCCCCAAAGACCTCACCCGCCAAACGCGATTCACTCTCCAGCGCTGTCGCAGGCGCAGGCGCAGGCACAGGCACAGGCACAGGCACAAGCGCCGCCGCCGCCTCCTCCTCCAACTGCGGCACACCAAGCGCGCCCCCCTCAGGGCACCCTCGAGTCCCAGGTCATCAGCTCTCAATTGACCAATGAGCCATACATCTTTGTCGGCTGTGAAAGCGTCCCACCCCTCCCAAGCATCATACCCCACATGAAGAAGCGACTGAAGAATTATGGATTTGACGACATCCGCCTCGACAAGACTGGGTTCTACATCGTCTTCCGAAACTCGTATACCGGGCGAAGCGAAGCCGAACGTTGCTTTCGGGCTGTTAATCACACCGAATTCTTCAACTACAATATGGCTATGCAGCTCTGCCTCCCACGCTCATCCCACGTCGAATCTGCAGCAAAACGCAGCCCCAGCCCCGAGCGAGCACCTAGGAAGGACTATCGGGCGGAGAAGGCGGAGCTGGAGAGGAAGCGCCGGGAAGATGAGGCTGACCTCGAGGAGGAAAAGAGGCAGAGGGCCAAGAACTTTGACCCCGTCATTGAAGCCGTGGAGGTGGTTCGCCGCGAAATGACGGAGCATCTCATCAGGCACATTCACACCCACGTTGCGGTGCCCGCGCTGGTCGAATTCCTGAATCCAGCCAATCATGTCGCCAAGCGACGGAAGCTCAACATTGACCCTGTAGAGGTCGAAGAAGATGGCTTCGAAAGCGGTAGCACCAGCCCCAGGCTAGGAACTCCCAACTCCCGAGCAGACCCGATCGAGCGCCGGACCGGCCGTCTAGAGCCCAAGGCTCTGCCGAGGATTCGTAAAAGCAAAACGAAAGGCCTGGCTCCTCGGAGCACCTTTGTCGATCCATTTGCGCGGAAACGCGCTTCGGCAACACGTACAGCATTCCGATCCTTGCACCATCGCCTCAAGAGTCTCGACAGCGATTTCGAGTCTGATGACGAAACAGACGCAAGAGTATTGGCATCCCGAGGTGCTCGCCAGCCGGAGTCGCGCGCTCGCAGCCGCATGAGCACTGATGACGAGGCGTCCAAGGACGACTTCACCTCGTGGGGTCCGGGCGAAGACGACTCCATGACAGAGGCCAGCCTCGCCATTGACACCTCGATTGCTAAGAAGCGAAAGCTCGACCTCTCGGTGGAGAAGGCCTTCAAACGACAGAAGAAGTCTGACGAGGAGCTGTTTGGCGTCAAGATTGACCAGATCGATGATGAATTCAAGGTGGCCGATGAGTCCGACGATGCTGGCATGGAGCTAGATGTGACTGCAGAGCGGGAAGAGTCCACCGCCGGCCCCGAAGGACAATTGTCGCAGCTCGAAATCACGCAAAAGTCAAAGCCGGCTAAAGCTAAGCGCAAAACCAAAAAGCAACTGCTTCTGGAACAAGAGGCGTTGAGCAAGCAGTCAGAGGCAGAGGTAGAGGCAGAGACACAGCTTTCGGAAGCGGACGAGACGAAACCCACGAGCGAAGCCGTACCGGTGCCCGAGGTTGTAGTCGACCGATATGACGAAAAACTCTTCGCGACTAAGCCCATGACCGCGGCGGCAGCACTCCCCGACGGATTCAAGCCCGACATTGCCTCGTTGGCAGCTCTGTCCCTCGGCCCCAACGACGTTCCGGATCTCAGCCGACTGCTCAAGAAGTTTCAGATCGAGGAGATTGGCAACCCGGAGCTGTGGCTGTGGAAGCGGAATCGCGTCCGGGAACTCAACGCGTCTGACGGTGCTCGTGGCGGCCCGGTTCGCATTGAAGGCTACTATGTGCCGAACCCGAGTGGCTGCGCGCGAACGGAAGGGGCCAAGAAGATCCTCAACTCGGAGAAGTCAAAGTATCTGCCGCACCATATCAAGGTCCAGAAGGCCAGGGAGGAGCGGGAGGCAAATTCCAAGAAGACGGGCAGAGATGCTACGATTGCCGCCAACGAAGCCGCCAAGCTGGCCGCCGAAAAGCTCATCGCCAAGGGCAACTCTCGGGCGAACCGCGCCACCAACCGACGGTATGTCGCAGATCTCAACGACCAGAAGAAGACGCTTGGGCAAGACTCGGACGTCTTCAAGTTCAACCAACTCAAGAAGCGGAAGAAGCCCGTCAAGTTTGCTCGCTCGGCCATCCACAACTGGGGCTTGTACGCCATGGAAAACATCAACAAGGATGACATGATCATCGAGTATGTTGGCGAGGAGGTCCGGCAGCAGATTGCCGAGATTCGGGAGAATCGCTACCTCAAGAGCGGCATCGGCAGCAGTTATCTGTTCCGCATCGATGACAATACGGTCATTGACGCGACGAAAAAGGGAGGCATTGCGCGATTCATCAACCACAGCTGCATGCCCAACTGCACTGCCAAGATCATCAAGGTCGAGGGCAGCAAGCGAATCGTCATTTATGCTCTGCGCGACATTGCTATGAGTGAGTGTGATCTCTCCAGCACCCCCATATCTATCCATCAATGCTTTTGTCTACAGTTGTGCTAACTCATTGATCCCTTTGCAGACGAGGAACTTACGTATGACTACAAATTCGAGCGGGAGATTGGCAGCTTAGACCGGATCCCCTGTTTGTGCGGCACGGCCGCTTGCAAGGGGTTCCTCAACTAATATCCCGCCCCTTTTTTTTCCTCTCGAGATGCTATCTTGTCGGCAACAATAATGAATTCAAGACGACTCGCGACGTTGACCTTGGCTTTGACCAAGCTGTTGGGGCTGAGAGCGAACAATTCACCAGAAATTTTGTCATACTGTTGACTGAACCGCTCAGTGCAGATGTATCTTGCTCTCTTGCCATTCATTAATTTCTCACTTCCACCCTCCCTCTCATACCTGCCGTACTACGGGCCATCACACTTCAACAACCATGTGATATATAATGCAAATTTCAGTACAAGAACTGGGCTCTTTATTGTTGTTGTTCTTTTTGCTTGTTTTTCTTTTCCTTCTTTCTTATGGGAGAGGGGTGGCGTCAAAGGGCGGGTGAAAACTAGGTAAAACCTTGGATCAACAGCTAATGGTGGCGTTGAAAGGGGGAAAAAGGACAATTCCATTTCAAAAGAGGCGCTGCACGAAATGAAACAGGGCACACACACACACACAAAAAGAAAAGAAGAAAAAAAGGAAGAACAAAGAGCGAGAGAATGAGGGAGAGGATTGGGGTGCAAATGATCAATGTGTAAGAAAAGAGGATGGTGAGCGCGGGTTTTTACCTTATTGCGCGTGGCCTCTTGTCTGGCAGGGAGCAGCAGCACAGATCTGGCATGGAGTTTTTATAGTATTGGCTTTGGGAGGGATCGATTTGTTTGCTTTGCAGACGCGAATGAAGGCTGCTGGTCTAGTTAGGAGGTAGGGGGTAGTAGGTAGTGATGTGTATGAGATGATCGACGATGTTGTGAATCCCAGGCTTCGCTCCGTTGTCTTGTGCCATCTATTCTCCTCGTATCTCTTCCCCCCTTGACGATGAGATGTCGCATCAAGTCAGAAAGAAAAGGGCATATCATACATAGTACTTGCAAGCTTCATTCTTAAGATTATTTCCACAAAGGAGGGTGGATAGGCAAAGAAGCAGTAGTATTATAGTTATCGTTCGCTGGTTGTATCAGAGAAACATACAAAAGTGCTGGTTCATCTCCAGTGAACCACGATGATCCCCATACCACATCCAGCGGGGACACCGGCGCCCGTTCCCATCTCAATCAACACTTCCAGTCCCCTTCTCACTCCAATTGTTCAGGACAGCCGTGGCTCCTAGCGAGAGACATGCCCACTCCACCCCTTCCCCCTCCTGAGGCTTCAATGGCCCTGCGGCATCTGAGAATGGCCGTCAGACGGTGCACGAGGTCCCAGCATCCAGTCCTGCATGGCCAGCCATTCACTCCAGCTCGCCTCCGCGGCCTGAATCTCCTTCTCGGTGACGGCCTGCAGCGGGCGCAAAAAGGGCACCATCTGGCCGTCCTCCAGGTCGTAGCTGGCCTTGACTCGCAGCCAGGTCTCGCTCTTGGCCGCGAAAAGGTAGTTCCTCCGCTCGTTGTCGTGAATAGGGCCGACACCGGCGTCCCAGCCGTCGCCGAAGAAGCCGTGGAGGATGGCGATGGTGTCGAACCCGGTCGCAACGAGGCGACGGACGTAGGGGACAAGGGATATCGAGGCGTCGGCGTTGCCTGGGAATGGCGGGCCCGTGGGTGCAGTCGAGCCCGAGGTTGCGGAATGCCGCGGCAAGCCTGGGGCGTGCTGGAAGGGGAGCCTGATGTTGATGATGGCGGCAACGGCCTGAACGGCGGTTGTGTGCTGGCCGCGTTCGAGGAAGAAGTCAAGACAGGATCGGTACTTGGGGTACCAGTCGAAGAGATCAAACTGTGCCTCTTGGAAGGGCTGGCCAGATTGTATAAATGCCGTGAGCTTCGCGTTCATGAGTCACGAAATATTGGTGAACGGTGGCCAGCATTCGAATCGGGGCAGAAAGGAATGCTCAGAAGCTAGATACACTTACATGATAGAACGCCATGGCGGTATGCGAAGGGTTGGAGTAGAGCAGCCGTCAAGACAAATGCAAATGTCTGTCACAGGCACAGAACCTATGCGGAGCGAGGACAACTCGCTTTCAAAGTAATGGAGTATAATGCTTCATACAAGGCAGCCGAAATCGAAGTCTCTGAGAGCCAAAAGATGATGGGGCCGCACACTGAGTACTCGTAGGCCTCCAAGATGCAGAGAGGCACTCGCGGGGGCAGCCGACGTCCTCTGATGATCGATCCGCGGGAGGCGATTCCGATCAAGGGGGTCCATCCACGCACCTTTGCGCTTTTGCAATCCAACTGCAGCACAAGAACGGTGAGCGACAGAGCAAACAACAGCGACAAGGTCACGTCACCAACGATGCCTTCTTGGAAAGATACGCAAAAAGAAGAAGGCGCAGGCGTCCTTGGTTCTCTGGTAGACGAAGGGTTGCGCTGGGTAGATCTCGGATTTGTTGAAGGAATGTCCCTTGAATTGCTATATGCCCTTTGTTTCCTCTTGTTCACGCAGTGTTTGAGGAGAGAGGACGGTTCAGATGGTCTATTCGCCGGGGTTTATATCGTTCCGGGCACAGGGAGAATCGGAGCTTGGGGCGTATCAGATACTGAGCGAGTGAGTGAGAGCAGGGCCTCCCCCCCGGAGCAACAGATGGTAATGCATCATGTGCGCAATACAATACCGACACATGTGACGATGAAAGTCTTTTGTGTATCACGATGGTGTTAAACAGATGTGGAGCTCGAGGTCGATGCAGAGAGGGAGAGGACGCAGAGAGATGAGGATGCCTGGCCAACTAGTGGAGGAGCGCGCAAGTCAAAGGCGTTAACGGAGCTGGAAGTGGAGAGTTGGTCGTCCATTCGGAGGGCAAGCCCAGCAAGGCTCAGCAGCAGGGTCAGGGTCAGGCTGGGCAGAGGAGATGTCACCACCATGGTCGGCGGATGACGGAGCCAGGGAAGCGTCTTGATAGCATAGGTCAATCACACACGACACGGGCTCTGGAGCGAGCAGTGGGCATCGGATCCTGGTCCGCGAATGTCTCATTTTGCGGGAGGCAGAAAGGCAGGAGAGGGAGCGAGGTCGGGTCGGGAGAGCTGAGGCCGCAGCGCCGCTCGTGATAAATCCAAGACATTTCGATGGTGAGGCCTAGTGGCAATTCCCACGATCAGCTAGTCGGGGCCATCTGATGTTGGTGGCTCGATACGCCGTTGGCCATCGATTTGTTTTACTCGAGATGCTGGTCCTGGGGCTGGACCCCTGTCGTCCGATTGATGAGATGAGCCAAGCAAAGACAGGGGGGCGTGAACCTTCCGAGCTGAAAAGACTCCCCACAAGGCCGACGGCGGCAGGGCGAAGAAGAAGAAGGGCGACATCTGCCGGCTCTTTGCCAGATTGCCGGTCATTGTCCCTGGGCCGCCATCCCTGCATTTGGCGCCGCTCAGCCCCTTCCGTCACAGCCAAATTGGTAGTTGAGAGAGCCTGTGCGACATGGCCGATTGGGGGACCTTTGTACGATGGACGAGGTATAGGTTCTGTACTGTAGATGCAGGGTGTGTGGCACAAGCACCCGGTTCCAGAGGCTTTCGGTGAAGTTGTGCGTGCCCTCGCTAGCATGACTTTTTGATTTCATTGACACGCTCCAGATACCCCTGATCCCAGCATGTTTGCTGCTGCTGTTGTTGTTATGCTGCACAAGAGCTACATTGTTTGTGCCTGGGCGGTTTCCGGGAGATTGATGGAGGCTCGAATCGCAGAGCTCAGAAGGTATATCACACCCCAAAGAAGAGAGCTAGTCGATGGTTATTCGTAGAGTCGCCTTTGCATATAATATTCGGTGTCAACAGTCCTCATCTACATAGATCGTGAAGTTGCTCATGACGAGGGTCCGTGCTGGCTCTCGAACCATGTCTGGAGCTTCTTGAGGGCGCGAGCACGGTGTGATATCTGATTCTTCTCGGCAGATTCCATCTCGGCGTATCTGGTGTCAAATAGCATTAGAGCTGTCATGGGTAAATGGTGAATCTGGAGCAGGGTGAAACCTACGTCTTCCCTTCGTACTCAAAAACCGGGTCCCATCCTGGTCATCGCTTTGTTAGTATCCGCTATTTGATGGGGGATCGTGCATCTCTTCTCACCAAAGTTCGAAGGGCCTCTTGCAGGCACGATCCGACCCTTGCAATAGCACACCCGATGTTAATGTACGAACGGCATAAACCCAGCTAGGATGCTGAACAGTGTCGGATGCCGAGATGGACGGAGACTTACAGGCGTTCGACCTTGGAAGATGATGGGGTCCTGCCCAGGGCCTGGCGAGTATGCAAACGTACACACGGCCTCTGCCGATTTATCCTCGTATGCCGCAAGGAGGTTGTTGAGCCCTTGGTGGCCAGTCTTGTCCAGGAACCACTTGCTGTAAGAATGTCAACATCAAGCACGGCGAATTTGCTTCTATACTCCATCCATCAAGGCATGGTTGTGTACAGAGTACATAGCAAGCGTGGCAGGGAGGGCCTTACATGTAAGGCCCTGGTAGGCCCTGGAGAGCATTAAAGCAGAGAGCTGTGTCCTCGACAAGCACCGGGCCATTGACCTCCATTCAAGGGAGACATGTCAGCCGCAGTCTATCAGCAGTCGGGAGAGGGATGGCCGTACCAGGTCGGCGGCTCGGCGGCATTTCCAGTTGGCAATCTCCTCGATAGTTCCCTGGATCTCCTCGAGGTCCAGCGACTGGCTCTGGATCTCGATCTTGGGCTCCAGGATGGCCTTGACCTCTCTCAGCTTGTTGGCGTTGCCAGTGATGAAATGGATGGGAGACGCCATTTTGGTGCGTGGAGGATGCGGCGATGGCGCTGAATTTGAGCGAGCTCAATATCTTTCAGATAGGGCTGAGTGTTTGGCTGATGAAGCTGTTGACGTTGTTCCTCTGATGTCGTTGTAGTAGCTGGAAGAAGGAAGGCTCTTGTGATGGAATTTGTTAGCATCATCAGATCGGCAAGTACTTGCGTGCGCAGAAGGTACCGGTACGACGGAGCTTCACTCGTCTTGGCTTGGAAGCACCAGTAGCAAGTTCGTGTCAGGGGGCTGTCAACCTACTCCGCAAGTACCGGTACCTACTTGCACTGGGTATCGCTAGCAGCTCTTTACAGGCGTCATCCACCACCTTGATATTGCGTACCTACTAGTACTTACGCATTTCGAGGTCGCTGCGCCAACCACTCAAGAGCCCATCTCATACCTACCTACTAACCCAGTCTCCATACCTTGCAAGGTCAATTCACCTTGTCATCTTGTCGGTCTGGGCTCTTGCTCGGACCCGGACAGAGATGAAACCATCCGCTCCCTTCCCTTGATCCAGCCTGGCCTGGGCGAGCGTCTCGTCCTTCTTTGTTCTTCCGGTGCGGCTTACCCTGTTCGCGGCTTCAAGTCACAGCCCTTGCTGGCCCTTGGACGCTTACCTACTTGCCATCATCTAAGCATCGATCATGCTACTGCGAGCTCGTCCATCACCATCATGACGCCACAGCCTGACCACGATCCCGATCGACTCCCACGCAGGCGCACCGCGATTAGCGAACCGGACGAGATCTCGGCAGCATCAGGACCACCAGACACCGCGCATGGACCCCGGGCCAACGGACCGATCGGCCGCCAGAGGACAGGCTCCTCGTCGCGATCCAGGCGGTCTTTTCCGGCGTCGCTGATTCCCAGCAGGACCAGCCGCCTCGTCATCAGCAAGACATGGAAGCGCCTTCTGCCAGGGCGCGGGTTACGGGCCAACAAGGCGGCAACTGCACGGAGCAGGGCTAAGGAATCGCTTCAAGATGCCTCCACGCGCCATTCAGGCATTCACCAGGGAACGCAGGTGCCGTCAAGGCTCGGTGTTTGTCTTCCTACATCACTTCCCCCATGCGTGTCTCCAACGTGTAGCTAACGAGACCGGCGCGCATCAGATAGTAGAGCTTGGAAAGTATGCGCACGAGGATGAAATGCCGGCATGGCTTGTGAGGCTGTTGGAGACGAAAGGCGAACTCCGTGCTGGTGGTAAGGGCATCCTGAGCTATCTGCTTCGTGAAGCAACCGAGTAACAAGGCTCGCAGGCGTCGTACCAGTCCTGCAGCAGCTCCTTGAAATGAGTACGCGGACGGAGTACGCCTACCTTTGCCATCCAGGCGTCCAACATGTGGCAAAGCTACGAAGAGAAGGTAATTCCTCGAAGCCTATCATGCGAAATCATGGATTGTGAGAAGAAGTGGACAGGTTCTTATTTCTTTCTTCTTTGCTCCTCGTCTAGGTGCTTTCTGCGGCTATCGCAACATACAGAATCTCTGTTCACATATCATTGGGACCCGAGCGACTGGGTGGGAGCAGCTGGGAAGCGACATACCGAGCGTCTTCCAGATACAGGACTTGATTGAAACTGCCTGGGATCGCGGCTTCAACGCTCGGGGCCGCGCAGAGACCGGGGGCATCAAGGGCACGCGGAAATATATAGGAACACCGGAGGTAGGTGTGATCCTCTGCACTCTATCCCGATCACCACTCTCAGACACTTTCGTACTCATCATTTTCTCCACAGGCACAAGCATTCTTTGCCAGCATGGGATTTCCGTAAGTACTGGCCAGTGTTTTTCGCCATGCCGCTGCGTTGGTCTCACACCAAGACAGGTGTTCTGTGCAAGCCTTCAAGGCATACAGTGACGACGACGACGCCGCGGGCCGCTTGTTGCGTGCAGTCGAGCGTTATTTCCAACAAGGCGCAGTAGACTGCATGGATCGCAAAGTCCGATGCACTTCGCTTCCGCCTATATATCTGCAGCGACCCAGTAGGCAGCCCTCTCCCTGCAGCGTCTTCTTTGTCGTCACCTTAGCTAACGAAGAACTCCAAAGATCATTCGCTCACAATTGTCGGCCTGGAGAAGCATAAGGGCGGCCATGTCCATCTCCTGGTGTTTGACCCCGAGTTTCAGGGCTCCAACACGGTCGTGCGTCTTGCTGGCAAGGTGACACCCCGTCGGCAGTCCAAGGTGACGAGGCTTCTGGAGCCGTATCGCCGCAGCGCCACCCACTTGGAGCGCTTCAAGCAGTTTGAGGTTCTCTAGTAAGTCATGGATCCTTGTGTTGTCGCAACAGACATTGGCTGACATTTGCGTGGCTAGTTTGACGAGAGACAATGGAGCTTGAAAAGGGGCTCAGTCGAGGTAGCATCACTCCACAAACAATGCCAGCCTTGGCATTTAATAAAAGGATACCGTGTGCCCAGAAGAATGATCAGGGCACGTTGGAAATGTTCATGTGTGTGTATCTCTATGTGCATGCAGTGACTCTGCGAGGCATTGGCCTAGTCAGGAGTGGCTATCTAGCACCTCAACCCAGCTATCTAGCTCCTTGAGTCTAGAGTGAAAGCTACTGTGTAGGAACAATGTTTAGTAATGAGAATAGAGAACAGAAATTGATAATCGTAGAACTTGATCGTGATGGTAGTAGATTTGAAATTCGGGATTTGGTATAGGGACTGGAGAACGACTCCCCTTCTCTGCTTATTACCTAATGTGGAGAGAGCTAAACATGAGCACCACCGTTCACTGAGATACCTCTATCAGCTCATCGTCTCAATACTTTGCCATCCAGCTCTCATGACTGCTTCTCCGTCCGGAGCATGTAGCGCCTGTCCTTCACACGTTCCCGAATACTCACACATTTTCAGCAGATTTACGCCAAGCAGACATTGACTTGCGAGATGACCATGCCAGAGCTTCAACAGCCACTCGAGAATCTCCTCAACACCTTCAACGAGCTCAACCCTTCGACCGTGGAAGAACTCTTTGCAGAGCCCAGCCCTTTAGAATTCATGCGCTATGTGGCTCGCAACACGCCGTTTGTAGTCCGGGGAGGAGCCTCCACTTGGAAAGCGACCAAGAAATGGGATTCTGCATATCTGCGGACGGCTCTCGAGGGGCAGTCTGTCAATGTCGCGGTTACGCCTTTTGGGTGAGGATGAAGCTGCAGGCATCCCTTGTTCTCTTTGCTCTTCTGGTTTCCCTTATCGCCGCTCAGTCTTCTCTGGCCCGCATCATACACTTGCCTCTGGTGCTCTATATCCTCCTACCTACCTCTAACGATTCCGCCAGCAACGCCGATGCGCCGACCTTTTCTCCCGAGCATAACGCAACCGTCATCTCAAAGCCCCACGAAGAGACACAGCAGTTTGACGACTTCTTCACATACATTATCCAGCAGGAAACAGACCCGGCGTTCCCACTCGACTCTGAAGTGAGATATGCTCAAACCCGTGAGAACGAAACAGCCCCATTGCGTCTGTGACAGGAGGAGGGGGGGGCCACATGTGCTAACGTAGACTTCTGCTTCAAGAGAACGACAATCTCCGGGATGAGTATCTGCCGCTGTATCCCGATGCCCAGAGGGACATTCCTTTTGCCCGGATAGCGCTGGGCAAGGAGCCGGACGCCATCAACCTCTGGATCGGCAACTCGCGGTCCACGACGGCCCTGCACAAGGACAACTTTGAAAACATCTTTGTGCAGATTGTCGGCCGGAAGCACTTTGTGCTGCTGCCGCCGCTGTTCCACGCGTGCGTCAATGAGGACCTTGTCTTGCCGGCGACGTACGTCCGGCAGGGCGAAGGGTTTGCGCTCGCTGTTGATCCGGATTCCCCCTTGGTGCCGCTGGCGACGTGGGATCCTGATGAGCCTGAGCGGAATGCTACGCCCTTGTCTGCTTTGGCGAGGCCGCTTCGTGTGACGCTGGAGCCTGGGGATATGCTCTACCTGCCTGCTATGTGGTGAGTTGCCACGCTCTCGATGAGTTGAGGGGAGTCTGCTCTGCTGTTACATAGTAGGCAAGCAGGAGGCCATGTAACCCTACTATGAGCTGTGGAACTGCTGTGCTTGTTCATTATGGCTGACATCTCATTCAAGGTATCACAAGGTCAAGCAGTCATGCCCCGATGGCGGCGAAGGGTTTGTTCTCGCGATAAACTATTGGTAAATGCCAGGAAACACCCGTGCCTAAGGTGCGACCCAAGCATTGAACGCTCTCTAACATTCTATATTAGGTATGACATGGACTTCAGCGGGCCTCTCTACCCCATGACCTCTTTTCTTCGCGAACTCGGAACCTTGAAGCAGTCTAGGTCTACTGCAGATAGGTCTACTGCAGCAAAAGACGGCCAATAGGAAAATAAACCTCCTTCTGCTGGTATGGATGGAATCAATATACAAGGCAAAATAGCGCTCCCCTCTTACTTCTTCCTCTTCTGAATCCTCTTCTGCGCTCGCAACTCCTTCTTCATCCTGGCATCGACAATTCTGTACCGTCCCTTGACACCCTTCGGCCGGCCCTTGACACCCTTGTTCAAGCCCCTGGCGACGACGAGCTTGGCCGGCTGTCGCGGCTTCTGCTTCTTGGCCTTGCTCAGCAGCTTCTGTATGCTCTCGGCCTTCTCCTTCTCCGTCATGCCTTCGTCGGCGGCCAGCATGTCCGACTTCTTCTTCAGCTTCTCCAGCTTCTGGGCCGTCTTGAACTTCTTCCGTGCCTTTGCCTCCCGCACCTTCTTGATCGGTCGGGCGTTGAAGGCTCTCAGCTTCTCCTTGATCGCAGCGGCGGCCGCCTTGGTGATGGGCTTCTGCGGCTTGTCGTGCTTGCCTTCGTCATCCAGGAACCATTCGGGCAGGCCATCCTTATCGCGGAAGGCACGTTTGTTGAAGCCATCGTCGATGGCATCGTGGCTTGTCTTCTGCCCCGTGGCGAGCTGATGCGCAAGCGTCATTGCTTCAGCCGTGACAATATCAATGTCTGTTTCAGGTCAACGGGTTAGCCAATATTCTCTGAAGGGAGCGGTGGTGTGATAGTGAGTGGGCTTACCGATTCTTCCATCTGATCGTCGCTTGTCCTTTTCCTCCCAATCGTCTTCCTCCTCGCCCCTGACGACCTCGAATTCTTGGTCGTCCTCCGAATCAACTCCATCGTCCTGCAAAGACAACTTCTGCATCGTCTTTTGTGCAGGCAGCTCTGATGTGCGAGCCTTCGTACCGTTTGCAGGAGCTGTCTCTTGATCCTCCTCCTCGGCCCCAAGCAAAGAGCCCCCGGTGATCTCCTTGAAGATATCTTGGCTGAAGAAGGCTGACGCTTTTCTTGACAAGCCGTCCTGGCTCTCTCCCGCCTGGCCGTCCAAATCCGTCAATAATCCATTCTTAGGCAAACCCTCATCTTCGTCGTCGGATGAGTCGTCGTCGTCCTCCTCCTTGAGTTCGCTCGCGTCGCTGTCTGCGTCTTCACCCCCTGAAAGGCCCTCCCACTCGTCATCCTTGTGTTCCTTCCTTGCCTTTTTCGCCCGGTACTTGGTGTCTGCCTCCAGTTTGCGTTCCCTGTATTGCTCGTACATGGCATCGAGCTCCGTCTCCAGCAGGTCTTCTTCGCTGTCGCTCTCGGCTGCCTCTGCGGAAGCGTCCAGCGTCTCCTCAGCAGCTTTCGTCTCCGTGTTTGGTACTGTGATCATCTTGCCCCTAGAGAAGCGGTTCATGCCATTTGACTTATCAATGGTCTTGAGGGAGAACATGGCCCCTTCTCCCATAGGCCCAGACTCCTCCATGCCAATGTCCATCGGCGCCATCATGTTCAGCTGCATCCTGATAATCTCCCGACGCTTCTGCTCATTTTCTTTACGCTTCTCGCGCTTCCTCTTGGCGTTTTCGTTGTCCTTCATTGCCTGCAGCTCTTCTTGTATCCGGAGCTCCTCGTCCATTGATTCTACTCCGGCCACTTCCTCAGCAACCTCTGGGGCTGCTGCCTTTTTCTGCGATAGGCCAAAGATGTCTCGCACCTTCAACCGCCATTTCAGAAGAAGTTTGAATTCTTTACGACCCAGAACTTTCAAGTCGGCGCAGCATTCTCGTATCTCCGCAGTTGTCTCAGGCAGCTTGTCAAGAGCGGCAAGCGCAATATCTCCGTTGGGTGACTGGTGAAAGGAAAGCTTATTGTAGGATCCGAGAATTGCGATCGGATCACTGGTCTGGATGAAGTCGCTTGCTGCAATCTCCTTGAACTGTATGTAGTCGCCTTCCTCGTAACCATCACGCTTCCGCTTCTTCACCTCGGGATTGTAGACCTTGGCTTCATTGTTCGGGGTGCCGCCCGCGAGCTCTGCAAAGACTGATCTCGGGTCCAGGAAGCGAGGGTCAATGTGCTTTGGCGCTTTGTATCCTCGACAAACGACGAAGATTTCGGCCGAGACGTTTCGAGAAGACGGGGGCTTGGTGGCTTCGACCTTGGTGAAGAGCTGGTTCAATACCCACAGCAAGGGGTTGTAATCCTTGGATCGGAAGACCTTGGTCACGAACGTGCCTCCTTCCGCAAGGAACTCGGTCGCGAGCTTCAATGATTGCAGCGCGAGCTCTGCTTGATTGAAGGAGTCCTGGGCCCAGGCGGTACCGACGTTGGGAGCACCATCGTGCAGAACCGTATCCGCCTTCCATGTCTTGAAGTGCTGTCGAATGGTGGCGCGGCACTTGTCTGTCGTGATGTCGCTCTGGAAGGTGATGACTCGAGGAATGGGCTTGATGGGCGCCAAGTCGACTCCAACAATCAGACTGTTGACCGGCATGACCTCCGCGGCGACTTGACACCATGACTGGACAATTGTTAGCTCTTTTTTTCTTCTGCTTCTTCTTCTTCTTCTTCTGCCTCTTGTCTTTCCACGTAGTCCATTGCTGTGGATCATTCCTGCTGCCATCCCCATTGGTATAACAAAACATGAGAAAATCAAAGACTTACACCAGGCGCAGCGCAAAGATCCAGCAGGACCTTGCTCTTCTCCAGGAACCCATACTTCTTGTTGAGCTGGATCAACTTAAAGGCGGCACGGGCACGATATCCTTTCTCCTTGGCAAGCTTGTACCACTTATCCAGACGGCCTTTGCCGTGCTTCTTCTGGATCGCCATGGTGCCGGTTGGAGATGGGCGAACAAAGGTGGGAAAGCCGGCAGAGCGTCTCGAGAGCGCTCACAAGTTGGACGCAATCCAGAAATTTTGTCGGAAAGTTGCATCGATAACGGCATCACGTGTCGATAAGAGAGAAAGTGGCAAAGAGCGGGCCGCTCCCATTGTCCAGCCAATAGCACTCTGTCGCCGAGCTAGCTAGCTCCCTTACCTAAGCACCCAGGCTAAGGTAATCACGGTAAGGTACGAAAGTGCTAGCTTGGGTGCCGACCCGATCGTGGGCTCAAGAGCAAGTGCCCGCCATGCTCTGCAGGCTTTCTTCCCTCCCTCCCCAAACTCCACTGCCTCATCAGCCTGCCTCAACTCGGTGCCCGCCAGGCCTTATGGTCGTCAACAGAGCAGCTGCGCTGACTGGAAGAGCCCGCCCACGATGAGCGGCAGGTTCCTCGCAGCGAGTCTGCGGCCCTTGGCGGCGAGAAACACCTCGGCTGCCACCAACTCGAGCGTCCGTCACTTACATCGATTCCCAACCGGTGGCCTGCTGCGTGCAGATGCCTCGATACGCGAGACCCGGAGACGCATGTGGTTTGGCGGCAACGCCTTCCACAACCAAGTCATCACGCGGAATGCGTCCTTCGTCCGCTTCCTGCCCAAGCTGGTGCTGAAGTTTGCCAGGATCCCCGCCATGTTCGGCGGCCTGGCCATCGGCGCCTTTGCTTGGGTCCAGTATCAAGCTACACGTATGTTGTCCCTCGTCAGCTGAAGTGGTGGTGTCCCGTCGATGGCCTTAGCTCACCGGTTTAATCAGAGGCTGGCACTTACGCCATTTCGGTCTTCAACACCACCTTGGACACAGTCACAGGAACGGCATCCAGTCTGTACGGCACTGCCAAAGACGTAGCGGACCAGACACTCCAGGGATGGGAAACCACAAAGGAACGGGTCGAGGTGCCCGCTTGGCTGAAGAAGATGCTGGGAATGGACGAGAGCGGCGGTTCCGGGGGCGAGGGCGGCCCTGAAGGCGATCCCAAGCACAGCAGGGTCGGCGCCGCCGCGGCCGTGGGTGCTTCGGCTGCCGCTGTTGGCTACGACAAATCGGATGAGGAAGATCCGCGCGATTCGCTGCAGAGCTCCAAGGACGATCAGATGATGGTGCTGACGAAGAAGATGATCGAGATTCGGAACATCCTCCAGAAGGTCGGCCAGTCCAGCTCTCTTACCCTGCCGTCTATTGTCGTGATCGGCTCGCAGTCGTCCGGAAAGAGCTCCGTGCTGGAGGCCATTGTCGGCCACGAATTTCTGCCAAAGGGCCTCAACATGGTTACCCGGAGGCCGATTGAATTGACCCTGGTCAACACGCCGGACTCGACCGAAGAGTATGGAGAGTTTCCCGACCTCGGTTTGCGAAAGGTCACCGACTTCTCTTCGATCCAGCGAACCTTGACGGAGCTGAACATGGCTGTTTCGGAAGCAGAGTGCGTTTCGCACGACCCTATTCACCTGACGATATACTCACGCAACGTTCCCGACCTGTCCCTCATTGACCTGCCCGGCTACATCCAGGTTGTTGGACAGAACCAGCCGTTGCAGCTGAAGCAGAAGATCTCGGAACTATGTGACAAATACATCCAGCCCCCGAATGTCATCCTTGCCATTTCTGCCGCGGATGTCGATCTGGCCAACTCAGCAGCCCTGAGGGCATCTCGTAGGGTCGATCCCCGGGGCGAGCGAACCATTGGCGTCATCACCAAGCTGGATTTGGTTGATCCTGCCCGCGGAGCTGCCATCCTCAACGACAAACAGTACCCTCTTCGGCTCGGCTACGTTGGGGTGGTGTCGAAAGCGCCGCAGTCGCAGGGCCTTTTCAAGATGGGCTCTTCAGATCTTCTCGCCACCATTGCCAAGAACGAAAAATCTTACTTCTCGGCACATCCTCATGAATTTGGGCCGGAAGCGGGCGTCAACGTGGGCACCCTGAATCTCCGAAAGACATTGATGCGCGTTCTAGAACAGACCATGTCCTCCAGCCTGCAGAGCACAAGTGATGCCATCAGACAGGAGTTGGAGGAGGCGACCTATGAGTTCAAGGTTCAGTACAACGACCGCCCGCTCTCCGCCGAGTCTTATTTGGCCGAGAGTCTGGATGCCTTCAAGCATGCCTTCAAACAATTCACCGAGGAATTTGGCCGTCCAGAGATGCACGAGCTGTTGAAGAGCGAGCTCGATCAGAAAGTGCTGGACCTGTTGGCCGCTCGATACTGGAACAAGCCGGTGACGGACCTGACGCCTGCACAGCATGATCTCGACAACCTCGCCGACCTCCCCAAAGCCGATCCCGATTCTCTCTACTGGCGTCGCCAGCTGGACGCATCAACCTCGGCCCTCACGAAGCTTGGCGTTGGGCGCTTGGCGACGACGGTCATCGCATCGTCTCTGCAGGCCCATGTTGACAAGTTGCTGGCCAACTCGAGCTTTGCGAACCATCCGTTTGCCAAGAAGGCCATAACCGAAGCCGCATCCACCATTTTGAACGAGAGGTTCTACAGCACCAGTGATCAGGTCGAAAACTGCATCAAGCCCTTCAAGTTTGATATTGAGGTTGACGAGAGGGAATGGAGTCAGGGCCGTGATCATGTAGTCACTGTGCTGAAGAAGGAGCTGCAAGACTGCGAGGCCGCGCTGGCCAGCCTCGAACCCGCTGTCGGCGGACGGAGGAAGCTGAAGGAGGTCATGACCTTTGTGGACAAGGCGCGAAAGGGCGACATCACTGTTGAAGGCGATGGCCGAAGTGGTGCGGGAGGTTTCAGTGCTGCTCTTCTTGCCAAAGGTCAGTTCATCATTGCCAAATCTTGAAGGGGTGCTATGCGTGTAATGTTTCTTTGGATCCCAGTTCTGACGTGTGAGACTATAGGGAGAGAGGCTGTTTTCCTCCGAGACAGGGCCGACATCATCAAGATGCGGATGATGGCCGTCAAAGCCAAGCAATGCAGCAACCCCAAGAACAAGTACTACTGCCCAGAGGTCTTTCTGGACGCAGCAGCCACGAAGCTGGCTTCCACGGCTGTTCTCTTCCTCAATGTGGAGCTGCTTTCCGAGTTCTACTACAACTTCCCGCGGGAGCTGGATCTCCGCCTTGGACGACACCTGTCTCCGGAGGAGGTCGAGAAGTTTGCCAAGGAAGACCCCAAGATTCGGCGACACCTGGAGGTCATCCGGAAGAAGGAGCTCCTGGAGTTGGTGCTCGAGAAGATGGACAGCCTCAGACAACTGGAAGGAAGGGATAGGGAGCATGGATCCCATGCGAGAAGAGGGGGGCCTAACAAGGACCGTGGACGATGGGGACTCTTTTAAGCCCAACTCAACCATCGCATATGCCCCGGACTGCTATTGCGAGATGACGCTGCGTTGGCCACTGGTGTACCCCTTGCTTGGCTATATCGAGTTTGAATGTGCGGTCATTGATGATGCTTGTTCACTACGGTATGATGATTTCTCTGCAGCGCTTTTTGAAAACCTTCCTTATTGAAGAAGGGGGAAGATACAAAAGGAGAATGAATAGGGAAAGGGAGAAACTGGGGAAAGGGAGAAACTGGGGAAAGAGGAGGAAGATGAAAAGAAAAAAAGAAGAAAACTTCCGAAAACAAATCAATGTACGACACATGATGACAATCCCCATATGCGGCGCAATGGATCAATAAAAGGAAAGATATGAAATGATGTATATGAGAAGACGACTGGCAAATAACAAATATCATTATATTATATTCAACTCATATCATCAATTTTATGCGTTAATCTATGTAAATGGTCTGAGTCAAAGCAAGACGTACATTCAGACGTACATTAAGGGGGCATATAAACCTAGATAGGTATGCAAACATCACAAGCCTAGCAGTTTCTTTCAGATGCCGGCGTCAATGGTCGTCTCCATAGTCACCTCCCACCTTACGTTACCCCCGTTGCCATAGCCTTCGCCTAATCTATTTTGAATCAGGGCCGAGATGCGATTGCGCAGCTTGACCAGTGCGAGCTCATCATAGCCATTCGTGATAATGAGCTTCAGGTTGGCCATGCACAGGCCATAGTGCACTTGCCAGAACTGGGCGCCGTCCACACGGGCAATGCCCGACTCGGATTCGATCTCACGCAGAACGGCCGTGACGCCCACGTCGCCCCTATTCCCGCCGTAGGACATGAGGAGCATGAGCCCTTGAGCAACGGCAACACGCATACCCAAGCTGAACATGGCAAGGGAGATGACGGCGCAGATGAGCCGGTCAAGCCAGGCATACAGAGAAATGGACAGCAGGGGTAAGAGCGAGATCAAGGCGGAGAAGAAAAGGGTGAAGAAGTGAAAAGGGTTGGAGAGGATGCTTGGCAGGGTGGCCAGATAGGAGACCCTCATGACCTTGGCGATGCGCGCGTGGTTCCTCAAACCGTAGGCGGACACGAGAGTGCTCGCAATGGCGGCAGCCGACACCAGACCGAGAGCTACTCGCTCGTCATCATGGCCGTGATCGCCATGTTCATGGCCAGCCTCGTGGTCGCCGACTGATTCGAGAATGTGCTTGAGGTTATGCGAGAGGAGGTCGAAGCCGCCGAAGAGTAGGAAGATGGACATGGCAAAGCCGGCCAGGATCTCGGCTCGCTCAAGGCCAAACGGGTGCCGGATACTGCTGCGGCGCCAGACCTCGAAGTTGCCGAGAACGTCGACAACAACGCAGACGGCGGCGCTCCCGGCGTCGAAGAAGACGAGGTGGGACAGGGCCATTGCGGCGAGGGAGCCGCCGGAGCGGTAGAAGATGTACATGGCGATGGCGACGTGGCATAGGCCCCAGTAGAGGCGCATGCGCTGGTCTCGCTGCAGGCTCCTCCATGCCTCCTTGAGTGTGGGCGTGGGGAGCGAGGCGGGGAGGACGGGCGGCGGTCTGGGAGGCGGCTCCTGGAAGATCTGGTGCTGAGCCGACACGCTACTATGCTTGTACCGATGCCCACGGCGCTGGCCGACGTTCTGCTGCTTCGCTCGCGGTATTAGCCAGCAGTCAAAGAGGGCGGGATGTGAGAGGAGGGCATGATGGGACGGGGCATCTCGGGCTGGGGAGGAGGGCTGGTTGACGAACCGACTTGACAGGCGCGGTTGATATCACCTGGGTTTGAAAGTTGAAGGGGTTCGGAGCAGCGGCTGCCTGGCCGCCGTTGTGCAGGGACTCGGCCTCTGTGGCGGCCATGGTTGGCGATGCCTCTTGGGGGAGGATGCTGAATCAGGTGGCTGAAGGTTGGAAGAAGCGGCGCGAGAAGCAAGAGTAGACGAGGCGGTTTGGTTGTAGATGAAAACGCAGCTGGCGAGCACTTGGAATCCCTCGACTGCGGCACTACTACTCGTTTGCCATGGTGCCAGAGCCGGTCGCAATCGTACTCGCAGTCGTAGCCGCAGCCGCAGTCGCAGTCGCTGGCTCTGCGGCGGGTTTGGATGTAGGCGGGAGGGAGGAGTGATAGTTGAAGCTGTTGGCCAGGATTCGCGATACTATGACAATGCGGTAAGGTAAGGTAAGGTAGCAAGCGGTACTACAATGTCCAGGCACAGACAGAGCCGTGGGTGAGCGCCAGCGGTCCCCTGCAGCTGCGGAGCCCTGCTGAGTGTGTTGGTTGTACAAGTGCGTACCTAGGTAGGTACTAACTTGTCTGTGTCGTACCTTAGTACTAGTAGGTACTGGGCAATTGAAGTTGGTGCGTGTCTGTCCATCTTAGGTAGATAGCTTGGAATATAGGTGCCACGATCAATAGCTAAGAAGCAGGTGTCAGCTGCCCACGAGTGAAGAAAGGAAAGAATGCACCAGATGGAAAACAGCTGGAAAGTCAAGTCCACCAATTCTGCAATTCAAGTCAACGCCAGTCCTTGTTTCCTCTTGTCGATTATGCCATTGACCAATGGAACTGGCTGAGGTAAGGCATGACGGGCCATTAGCTAAGCCATGTTGCTCCGGACTATCAAGGTGCTTAGGTACAATGGTACCTTACCTGGTAGGTATCTACCTAGAGCAAGGTGCTTTAAGAACTGTACTTTACTTACTTATGGATAGTACTACCTACGAGGTCGGGAGTAGTTTTGCAGCAGACTTGCAGCCACTATTTTTATCTAGCAGAGTGCCTTTAGATTATGGCTCTTGCGTAATACCATTTCATGCTGTTTCTTAAGGAATTGTGTTACAGCTGCTAGGCTTTTACTACTACAAATTATTACGCAAACCTTTCTCCACTATTCCAGGCTTAAAATTATTACACAATATGCATTATAATAAATGAAAAGTGTTAGGGAAGAGGCCTTACTCTAAGGTTGTGATTTAACTTGCCTACTTCTCTATCTATTGCCTGGCCTGACTGCATAAAAAGGTACACCTTACTTAAATTAGTAGGGATTTGTAGTATAATTGCAGTAGAAAATACCTTATTAAGGAGAACCCCTGCATATACCCTAGTAGTAATATACTATACTAGCAGGGGCTATATAAACTTTTATAAAAGGCATAGTTATTAAGAGATTAAGTGTAATTTTACTAAATTAGCTTAATAAACTATATAAAAAAAAACTATTTATATAGCTAGTTAAATAAAGTATAATTTATTTATTTACTTTATTAAAAATTAGCTAAAGCTTTATAATATTATAAATTTAATTACTAGTAATATACTAGGCATTAGTTAATTAGTATTAAATATAATTATTAACTGCTAAAAGGCTAGGAATAACCTTAATATAGCTATTTTTCTATTAATATATATTACTTTAATAGTTAAAGCTATTAACTTACTTAATAACCTACTATTTAATAAAGTAAGGTTAATATTAGCTATTAATAAAAATAATACTAGTATATACTAGCGTAATATATTTATAGCCTTAAGGGAATACTATATATAGCTTATAAGCTTATTAAACTTATAGTTTCTTATACTCTTTTATATAAGAAAGGCTATATTTCTTAACCTTTACTAGTAGCTTAATACTAATACTAATGCTTATAAAAACTAATAATAATTACTAAAGTAAAAAGTAATAGTATTCTTTTAGATTTATATATATAATAAGCTATAAAAAAATATAGTATTAAGATTTTAAATAAGTTAGGCTATTATATTATAGGTTTTTTATAAATTAAAGGATCTTATATAATAGTTATATATAAATTTTATTTAGCAGCTAAAAGTAATATACTTATTACTAGTTATTAAGCTTAATATTAAATTCCTAGTATTTAATAGTATAGTTAAGGCTATTAATAAAACCTTAATCCTAGTATATATTCTTATTAAAAGGTAATAAAGATTTTAGTTAAAAAAGAATAATATTATATAAAATATATTTACTACTATTACCTTTAATAGCCTATTTAGCTATATTCTTACTAGTACTAAAGGATTTATTAATAACTTAACTCTTTTATATTATATAATAACTAGGTTATTCTTAATATTAAAGGGAAGATACTAGCTTAATAATACTAGCTTTAAGCTGTAAAAAGGTATTATTACTTTTTATAATTATAATATATATTATTATTTATAAAATTAAGGAACAGCACCTTAATAACCTTAAAATTAATAAGAGCTATTTAACTTATAGTATACCTAAAAGAGGACTATTATTAAGTATATTTTTAAAAAATATAAGCAGAAGTAAAAGATTATTTATTATAGTGCAGCTAAATATAAATTCCTTAATTAGATTTATATTATATATATAGTAATAGGTCTATTTAATTTTATTAAGCTTAAGGGGAGGACTTTAAAGCAGTACTATAAGAAAGAGCGACTTACCTTAATAAAATTTAAATAAAATATTATAAATTCTGCTTTAAAATATACTAATAAAGTTATTCTGCTATTAAATAAAGTAGCTTTAAGGGAGTATATTACTTTATAAGCCTAGAAATATTATTAGCAGTATTTAAAAGAGTATAATAAAGATACTAACTTTAGTAATAATAATAGTAATAATAAGGAGGAAGATAATAAAATTAATAATAATAATAATAATAATAATAATATAAAAAAGGAAGAGAATAAAAATAAGAAAAAGAAGCTTAAGGTAGGCATTTAATACTAAAGCTAGTTAAATTTAGTATTATAATATAAATATAAGGCTATAGTAAATATAATATAAGAAAATTAATAACTTATTAGCTAAATAGTATATTTTAAAGCTATTTATAACTAAATATAAAAATATTAAGAATTTAATAAAAAATGTATTTTTAACTATATATCCTTAGCTTTCTTAAATAATATTAAATTCTATATTAATAAATTTAGCAGATCCTTTTAAATTTAATAAACTAACTAAGTAACTAATAGCATCCCTTATTCCTTTATAAAAAGGAAGTAATCCTTAATTACCTTTTTAAAGTCTTTTACTTTAATAGCCTATTAATTATAAGTAATATAATACTTTATTTACTATAAAAATAAGTTATATACTATTATTATAATAGCTAGCTAATAAAAGCTATTAGCTATTTTAATTAACCTCTCTACCTTTTTTTTCTTCCTAGCTATAATGCTATTTACTTAAAAAGCCACTAATAGTATTAATAAGACTTATAATAGTCTAGTAAATACTACTTATAGTATTAAAAGCAGTAGTATTAATAGCCTTAGCTATAATAGCCTTAGCTATAATAGTCTAGTAAAGGCTGCCTGCAGTATTAAAAGCAGTAGTAATAATAGCCTTAGCTGCAATTACTTTAGCTATAATAGTTTAGCAGAGGCTGCCTATAGTATTAAAAGCAGTAGTAATAATAGCCTTAGCTATAATAGCAGTAGTATTAATAATAGTAGTACTAATAGCAGCAGTATTAATAGTATTAATAATAAAATTAGCTAGCTAGTATTATTATTATTACTACTTTTTAATAATACCTTAAAATTACTAGCTTTTTTATTACTAGTAATAGGCTAAGTTAAATCCTTTACTTTTTTATTAAAATGCCTATAAATAATAATATCTTTTAAACTTATATTTAAGCTATTTATAGTAAAGGCAGCTTTATTATCCACTTTTATAATATTATTACTAGTAGGTAAGTTATTTAAGAATACCTTTTACTAGTTATTTAGTAATATCTTACTGCTAACTAGAAGGCTATTTATAATAACCTAATGCCTTAATAAGCTATACTGCTATATAATTATATTTTTATTTTACTTATTTATTAAAAGCTTCTTAATTTTAAGATTATATATAGTGCTAAAGATCTTTTTAATAACTATAAATACCCTTTAGTATTTCTTTAAATATTAGTACTTATTTTCTATACTTTTATACTCCTAGATATGCCTTAAAAAGCGCTAAATTAAGTATAAAAGGAGACTTTAAAGCCCTTCTTATAAGTACACTTTTTTTATTAAATTTATAAGGCCAGCTTAGCAAGCCTTAAAAAGCAGGGAGAGGAAGTAAAAGGTATATTTATTTAACTATTTAATTAGGCTAAATAATAAGCTAACTTATAATAATAAGATAGCTAATATTTAGCTTATAGTAATAAAGAATATAATAATATTACCTTATAATTTAAAGTATTTATAAACTAGAATATAAAGAACCTATTAATTAAAGTTAAATTTAGTTTAAAGGCAGTAAAATAATAAGATCTAATTATAGTCTAGCCTTTATTACTAGGATTAATAGGGTATAAGATATAGTAACCTGTAAATTTTACTAGTTTAATATATTAAAAGTAGGCGACTGACTAGAAAAGTAGGCAAGTTGAATTATAACCTAAAGGCAGTCTGCTGGATAAAAATGATGGCTGCAAGTCTGCTGCAAAACTACCCCCGGCCTCCTAGGTACATGTACACAGAAACACGGCTACAAATGATCATATCACTGGTTTCTGCTTCCGTCGCCATGTCTCTCTGCTGGGTTTATGATAAGGTATGCTTCTATCACTTGTAGATGAATGTAACAGTACCTTATCTGGCTCAAGATTCACTCTGTCTCATCATTCTTTCTTAGACCTGGGATGCCAGAAAAGCTCCCTTGAATCCCCTGCAACAGGCATTCTCCCAGTGTTCGAATTGCACTGGAACCTGTCTTTGCCTGTCCATTGGTGGAAGTGCGCTCAGCAGCCCCAGTAGTATGCCAATGTCGTCACAGCTGAGGCGCATCAGCCCTCCAGTCATTGTGATCTAATAATATTTGGGCACCTCATTCTGAAATGCCAGCGATAAGAGAGTGGCAGATGCCCAACTATGGCCCAAGGCACAGTATTACTTGCTATGTGCTGCAACAGCTGTAGAATTGATGCTTATAGACTGGGGCAGTCCACTTCCTTTGGTCCAGTGGCTGAACCGAGGAATATCTTTGGTACCTTAGGTGGCTACCAGGTACTATAGCTGATGCTAAGGCAGCTGCTAGTACTATTACTACCTTTGCTCGCACATGCTACTAAGTTGAGGTCAGGTCGTCCGTCCAGTTGCTCAGACCACCGAGTTGCGCAAAGCTTCGCCAGCTGCAAAGACACACACTACTGAATACCTACAGACGGGCAGACAAGCGACACAGGCAGAGACGAGCACTGAGGCTGACAAACAGGCGGACAATGCCGACATCACATCGCAACCTGTGCCCCCAATGATCTGGTACCTGCTCTATCCGCTGCGAGGGTGAGGACGTCCTGGATGAATCCCAACCCACGCCCAATGCCCCTGCGCCAGCCCACAAGAAAAATAAAGAAGAAGAAAAAGAAAAGAAAAAAAAAAGGAAAGAAAAAAGAAGAGAAAAGAACAAGATGACGGAAACCAAGGATCTGTCCAGCGCGACGATGATGACGTCGTCTTGTTTTCCCAGCCCAAGTACACAGAAAGCTGAATGAATGTCTGAATGCTAGATGCTGACACTGCCATCCTTGTTAGAACAACAGAGGCTCCCGTCCTCCCGGCATCCCACCCGCTCCGCAGCGCCCTCACCCGCTACGGCCGCTACGCCTCCCGCCATGCCATCTCGACGCTCCTCGTCTCCGTCGCCATTGCCTCTCTCCTCATCTGCCCGCTGCCCTTCATCTTCAGCGACCATGGCATCAACGGAGCCTCCAACCTCCCCAACCATGTCTGGACCGCCGCGCAGCCGCTCCCGTACGACAGCGCCGCCAGCCCCGACATCGTCATGCGCTCCATCTGGGTGCACTCGAGCTACATGCAGGCCCTGAGCCCCGACGTCCTCCTCTCCGCCCTCGACCTGCAGGACGAGCTGCTGGGCACCACCCAGGACTTTGGCCCCAGCGCTTCCTTTGGCGAGCTGCCCCCCGCCAGCTCCGGTTCCGGCTCCGGCTCCGATCACGACCATTCCGACCCTGACCCTGACCCTGATACCGACGCCGCCCTGACGCCGGCCGAGCGCGACGCCCTGCACATCGTCAACGGCCTGACCAACCAGTCGTGGATCTTCCAGTCGCCGCTGCTGTACTGGAACTGCTCCCGCGACCGCATCCTCGCCGACGACGATATCCTGGCCACGGTCAACAACAACAAGAACCAGTCCACGCCCGCAAACATCACCCTGCGGCACTCCATCGTCTTCAGCGGCAAGCGCTTCGAGGACCGCCGCCTGCTGGCCGCCGACGCCCTCGTCATCACCCTGCTGTACCGGCGCGATTCCCCCGTCGGCCGCCGGTGGGAGGCTGTCGCGCCCTCATTGCCCGCCAAGGTGGGCGACGAGTGGGATATCTATCCCTCGACCGGAAATGTTTCGGCCAGCAAGCTCTACGAGTTCCAGTTCCGGCCCATGTCGGTGCAGGATTCCGTTGTCCTCGCCCTGGCCTACACCCTAGCCCTGGTGTATTTCCTCCAGCAGGTGTCCAAGCTCCGCGCCGTCAAGTCAAAGTTCGGCCTCATCGTTACCGTCGTCGTCCAGATCATGCTGGCCATTGCCGCCAGCTTCACCATCTGCGCCGTCTTCAACCTCGACCTGTCTCGCATCCCACGAGCCGCGTACCCGCTCGTGATACTGTCCATGAGCTTGGAACATGTTCTCCGGCTGATGGACGCCGTGGTCCGCACGCCCTCGGGCGAGACCCCGAGCACCAGGATAGGCGCTGCCTTTGGGGAGACGGCGCCCACGGCCCTGGTCAGCACCGTCCAGAACGTCGTCATTCTCCTTGGCCTGTCCTATGCAGTTGCTCCGGGTGTGTCCGCGTTCTGCATCTTCGCCGCCATCGCCATTGTGCTCGACTTCTGCTTCCTGTCCAGCTTCTTCATCGCCGTCCTGAGCGTCGATGTGCGGCGGATGGAGCTTGGGGATGCTCTCGCCAGGGAGGCACTCCGCCGCAAGCGAAAGCAACGACGTCCTCGGGAAACCCCCTCGTGGCTGCAGCGTTTACTCGAGGGCAAGATTGCCCTATCCACTCGAATCGCAGGCTCGACCGTCATGATAGGCTTCGTCATTATTGCGCAGACTCACTTCTTTGGCGGCGGCGCCATCTCTCAGAAGCTCTCTCATCTGTACGGCGGCCAAGACCTGGCGCCCAACGCGTCGTCCCCCGAGCCATCGCTTCTGGAGGACATTCATCAAGCAAGAACGCCCACGTCTTGGCTGCGGCTGCAGGACCACGATGCCGCCCGTGAAATCATTCGCCTGATCAAGCCCTCGGCCTATAGTTACGTAGCTAGAGTCTATGAGCCTTTGGTGTTCGTCAAGAAGGGCTCCAACCGCATGCCGGTGATCAAAGAGCCTGCTCTGTTGCCCGCGGCATATGACTTCATGCGTCATAAGCTCGCTACCTTCGTCGTTGTCGACCTCGTTGTGGTTGCCCTGCTTCGTCTGCTGATGAGCGTCATGCTAACAGAGGACGAAGCCAGGGTGGAAGAGCTGCACGACTCGAGTGACCAGTCCAGCCTGTCTGTGAAGACGCTTTCCGGAGGACACACGCTCGACATAGCCATGCTCGCCTACTCGCCCCGGGGTTACGCTGTGTCGGTCGGTCTCGACCGTGTGATTCGGCTGTGGGATCTCAACCATAGGAAGAAGAGCACCGCGATCCCCACCGCTGAAGGGGGTGCCACGATCAAGTTTCCCATCCTTGCAGTGGCCATGGACGAGGATTCGGACTGGCTGGCCATCCTGTCATCCGACAAGGTCGTCTTCTGGAACATGGTCACCCATCTCCAGGGCTCCGCCGTGACTGTCGAAACGCACAACCAGAAGCCGGAGGCCTTTTTTCTGGAGCCAAGCGCAACCGCGTTGTCAGACATTCCGACGGCGGTCATCATATGGAAGAATGGAACGGCAGTAGATGTAGAGCCAGCGTCGGGACAAGTCCGCGAGTCCATCATCTGTTCAGGATTAACATGTGCCCGCCCGCACTCGTGTAAAGGTAAAATCCAGCAGCCTACAAATATCCTTCTCCCCTGCTTCTTCGTTGTCCAACTATCAGTGCAGCTGACTTGAGGGAATGCTTTTCCCTTGCACTTTCTGCAGATGACAAATACCCAAGGCCGAGCGTCTCCCTTGTAGCAACATCTCGAAACGGAGACGTGCACATCGTGAGAAGAAATGGGCTGCAATGGGAAGAGCAGAAGCTTCTTGCAGGACGGCTCGCAGCTGATGAGGTTCATCAGGTGGTGTCACTCTCGCCTCTGCCCTATTTCCTTGCATCCTCCAGGGCGGAAATTCTTCTTATAAGCCTAGACGACGGCACCACCTCTTGGAGCTTTCCTGTAGAGGAGATGCGGCCGCGGTCGCTCGCGTGCGCCTTCACCCGCTACAGATCATCCAGTGACTCGCCGATAGGGCTGGTTTCCTTGACGTTTAGCTACCTCGCGCTAGACTCGGGTGATTGCGTTCTGCACACGTTTACACCCCCAGAGGACGACGATGCGATTTGTCTACAGGGAATCGACGATGACAGCCTGGTCAGCGGCTGGTGCAGTTGGCAGGACGCCAGGGAAAGAAAGAAGCACATCAGCAACCCTGGCGTTTGGAGGATCTTGTCGGATGGCAGCGCACTGGGTCTCCGCCGTCGACCTAGTGCCGAGCTGAGGCGCCGTCGCCGACAGGATGCCACGTCAGGGCTTCGGAACCGCATACCCAGCGCAGAGGCCCGAGATTCGGGGGCTCTGCGCTGTTGGGAGCTGTGGAGGGTGGCGTCCAGCGACTGGGAGGAAACGGACGAAACCATGCCCCTGTTCCCTGATGGCGAAGATGCAGGGCACCTGGTTGTCTGCGACTTGGGCCCCAGCGTGAGGGTCGGGCTGACATCGGTTGCCTTTGCTTACGGGAACGTCATCAAGCTCGCGACGTTGAGCGGGCACAAGCCTTTCGACGTCGGTGCCAAGGAGGTGAGTCCCGAATCGCCAGTGAATGTGCCAACCAGGCGTCGAAGGCTGGGGCCCACGGCCAAACCAGGAGCATCAGGCCAGTAGTATCGTATTATGGACAATCCCGAACCAACAAAGTTGGCGAACCGCCAAAGTCCCAAGTCTTTCCTTGCCCAATCAGTGATTGCTTAGACCTCATTACCTTTGACGGGCTTGAAGAGACGAAACAATGTCCCTCCCAAGAGTGTAGCGCGCGCAGTATCATGTTGAAAAGAAATGAGCTGTGTATGAAGATGCTGCTGCCGAGCGAGTACATGCCGAGCGAGTACATGTCAAACCGGAATGGGCCAAGGTAGCTGGAAACTTCAAGGGAAAAGAAAACCATATAAACATTAAACTAGAGGGATATAAGTTTATATACCAACAGTAACTGCAAACGTGCCGTGCGCACTTGTAAATAGATCCGTTGTCCGCGCTGGATACGCTGAGTGCACGCCGAGGGAAAAGCCAAATGGGAAATATACATGACGGGTGGTCGGTTCATAAATGAACGACTGGCGAGCATCCTAGAGTCATCTTGGGCATGAGTTGTGTCGTTATTGAGGTGAGGGCCTTTGCCACCTTCGCTCGCCGTCGTTGTCGATGCCTCATGTCCACCTAGATAGGATTCTCCATGCCGACCGGGGGTGTAACGCCAGGAGAAGCTGAATGAGAGGCCTGAGCCTTGCCGTGAAGGGTGTTGTTGGACCCGAGCCCCCGCCTCATCATCTTGCCCAGGACGGTGACCAGTTCGCAGGCATCCCGAAACATGTCATCGTCCATGCCTTCTGTCGCTTCATAGACCTCATTGATCGTATTTCTCGCCAGCGTGCGGCTAGCATCAGCGTCGTGGACACATTCGTAGAGGAAGGCCGCATATTCCGTCTTGACGGACAGGCGCAACGAGTGGGAGCCCCAGAGGAGCGCATCGGCCAGCTGCGCAGCCTCTTCAAAGTATTGATGCGCCGTGGGAAGGTAGTCTTTGGCGGGCAGCAGGAAGGAAAGCGAGCGCGCGGAGACTGGCGCTTCGAAGCCCGGGGGAGGGCCAACGGGGCCGCCTTCAAGCGAATGATGCATTGGATGCCGGTAGTCGTCTGCGCCGTGCATGTCCTTGCCGCGGTCGGTCGGCACGGCGTCGGGGTCCCAGTCGGGCATGTTGGATACGCGAGGCTGGTTTCGAAACAGGACAAAGATGTGGTAGAAGCTGGCGCGTAGCTTATAGGCCAGGACTTTCAGCTCGACGCAGTTGGTGACGAAGGGAATGACATATTCCTGAAGCATCTTGAGCCCTTCCCGTGCCAACCACAGGATGCGCATGATGTTTTCGTGAAGCGTAGCATCGGGCTTGCGCTGCTTCTTTACCTCGACGAGCTTGTCAGAGAGCCTAAGAGAGAGCCCGAGGATCTTGAAGAGCGTTGAGGAAAGGATCGGGTTGTCTCCCTCGACGGACCTGGCCATCCGACCCAGATACTTTTGGTCCACCTCGGAAGACGCCATTGCAAGGCGTGTGCTACCTGCTTCTCCGGCTCAGCCCCTGTGATGGATGAGACTCGACGATCTGCTGAATTTCTTTCTTTTCCCCCCTTCTCCCTCTCGTCAAAGTCAACACCCTGCCGCCGGGATGAGACTGGGCCAACACCGAAGGAGACTCGTAAAGCAGTGGGGCTGTTTGACGTGGTGATTCAGATAGGTGTGAAAAGATGAAGCCGCAGCAGAGTATCTAGAGAGATCAACGAGGCCAATGCTGTGAGAGGCGCTAGGACGTCGTTGCTGCAGTCGATTGACAAAGGACTTATCGATTGATCCAGCTGGCAGGGTAACTTGGCCAAAGTCGCGGAATTGGCAGAGTGACTATGCGCAGATGTCGTCGGTATTGATTCTGCGTTGCAAGTGAGTAAGTATGTAGAGCAGCGGTAGTAGTAGATAGGTAGTTCAAGGGAGCGAAAGAGGGTTGAAATCAAGAGACGAAGCTGGCCAAGTCCATCTGGGAGCGGTTGCAACTGACAGCCCTGTCCATGGGATCCCAAGATGAGCCATCAACAGAATCTGGACCGCACCCAACCACCCAAACAAAACAAACTGCTGCTCGACGCTGGAGGCGCCATATCGAACGCCATCAAGAGCTGGGCTAGATGCTTCTCGAGACACGGCTTACAGTCACCACAAGGGACGGAGCGTGAGCACCAGGACTGCTGCTTTCAGTGACAGCAAGAGATCTAGTATCCGATCCTCGTCCGTCCTCCGGTCGCCAATCGCCAATCGCCAATCGCCAAGTCCCAGATCTCCAGCCTCGACAAAGGCCCGTTCACCCACGCCTCGTCCCGGCATCTTGCCGTGTGTGCGCCATGCGCGTGTCCTGCACTGCACTGCGAAAGGGGTGGGGGGAAGAACCGGGCAGGGAAAATGTACTTTGATCACGGCGAGGGTCGCACAACCTACCGACTGAACAAGAGAGGCGCTTGATGCGTGGCTTGGCGGCGCTGCGGCAAGAAAACGATGACGGCCTTGATTGTGTTGCTGTTGCTGGAGTCGGGAGGGTTTTGGTTGTGGTCGAGGTCGAGGTCCGCTGGCGAGGGTTGCGTCAGGTTGGCAAGAGACGGGTGTATGTAAGTACAAAACAGTGACAGGGGCTGCGGTTCGCGAAAGAGTGCATGGGCGGGTTCGCGCGTCACCGAGCAAGGTACAGAGAGGTATTACCTATAATGGGGTCGAAGAGGGTTCAAGTTGTACCTGAAGGTACGTGCATGCATGCATGCCTTTGGTGCCTTTGGTGTGTGTTGCTGGATCCCAATCCGCCGACAGGGATTATCTCGACTTGACAAGGGTCAAGAACCACAGCATGATGGGTAGTAACCTTACCTTACATTGGGTGTCTACTACCAGAAGGTACCTTGATTACAACGACAGCAATCTTGCATTGAAATCTGTCAGCTCAAGAGCAACGACAAGTTCGTTACAGAGAACAGAGTCGTTGTGCCCAGCCGACTCTGTGACATTGACATCCGGTTCGACCGATACCTAGGCAATGATGGCTACGGCAGTCTTGAGCACATGGAGACCGAGATGATGATGTAGAATGAAATATGTGTATGAAGAAGATATATACGACTTCATCTAGGAAGATTGCATGCCTCGTAAATACATGGCTGATGTTGTAAATGTGTACATGGTGAATCCTGTATCCCCTCCCCTTATCTCAGAGTCCCAGTCCGGTCGTGTCCGTCCCTGCTGTTCCGCTGATGAGCTCCCCGAGAGGAGTTGACTCGAGAGGAGGAGCCATAGAAAAGATAAAAAAGCCAGATGTCCCACGGTGATTGTCGGGAACAAAGGGCCTGAAACGTCGAAAGATGGTTGCAATATATTTGGGCGGGTTCGGTCGAGGGCAGATGGAAGTGCCGCCTCGGTTGTCGCACGCAGGCTTCAGGCTTGAAGCTGTTTACATGACGGTGCAGCCCAGGAGGCCGGTGAACTTCTTGTCGTTGGCGGCAGGCTTGGTCATGACGCTGCAGCCAATGAGCCTCTTCCTCTCGACGCTCTGAGGCTTAGCCATGACGGTGCAGCCGAGGTTTCCGGTTTGAGCCATTGTGAATTGAGGGTTGGTGGGTTGGTGGGTTGATGTGGTTTTTGAAGAGCTGGAGTTGCTTGAGATTGAAGGCTGTTTGTTGCTGATGAGATGAAACTCTTTCGATTGACCGGAGATGCTGCCTGGCTTTATACCTGGAGCTTCTGAACTGGCCTTCATCCCGCGTCGTCCAGTCTCCCGGTGGTGGCCGCACCCCAAGCATTGTCTCTGAACATTGTCCCAGCCCGTCCGATTGTTCTGCTACGAGCATTGCCGCGCATCAGATTGTCCGACCTGCGGGCCTCATGGTCTCGTCTTGGCGAGGCCCGGGCAATTTCCGCTCTTCGTCAGTTTGCGTTGGCGCTCTGGGCTCTGTTTCTGCAATACCAATGCATGAGCTATTATTCCGCGTCCCTCCTCTCGTTTTCCAGTCTTCGGCCTTCACTCTTGCTTCACAACGAGTCCTATTGTCCTCACAAGTGGATACCGGAACGGCCAGACCGTCCCATCTTGATATTATCAGCTTCATATTGTTCCTGTCCTGAGCCAACACCCTTAGCTTCAGCTCCTGACTAATGCCTGCCAGCCCTTAACTGCCGCCCCAAATCGTGCCCAAACGAAAGCGCCAAAGTGAGCATTAAGGTAGGTTAGATGTCAAAGGTAATCGCCTCAGGGGTCTAGGAGATGCATTGTCATCAGCGCATACTTCTATTTAGTATCATTAGATGTAGAGATAGAGCCGTTTTTGTGTATGGATTGTGTAAGATTAATTGTCTCTTGCCCTCGTCGTCCTCGTCTTCTTCTTCATCTTCATCTCCTACGTCTTCTTCTCTTGGCCACCTCTTCTGATCGTTGAGGCGCCAGTCACCACCTGGCAGGTTGGTACACATGATTTGAGAAGCTGCCCATCCCGAGATCCTAGGCCATCTGGGCCCTTGTCTAGCTCCAACACGCTGCTTATCCACCTCAATTCGTGCCACTAACGGCGAGCCTATAAAACTTGTCAGCACGTGTCGTCTCTCAGGGCTCGTTCAGTTTCTGCGATTCTTACTTCATCAGGTGGTCCATGAAGGTCTGCAAGGACACATCATCCGTGAAGATGGTCTGGGCGGAAGTCGCCCCCACGCCGCCGTATGGCCCCGTCGTATGGGTGGTTGAGGGATTGAGTTTTGAGAGCAAGAATCTGGCCTGTGAGCCCCCGGCATCGCAGATGATGAATCTGGGGAGCGGGAATCGATCCGTGATGAGATCCTAGACAGCCACGTCAGTCGTCGGCACAGACACTCACATTCCTTATCCATTCGCGTCTGAAGCTTACTCTTGCGTCTTCCTTGGGCTGCTCAAGCAATGCGGCGAAATTTTCGTAGCCTTCCTGTTCGTGATAGCCCGCCTTTCGCCACTCGGCAATGGTCTCGCCATGGAAAATAAGAATGTGGAAGAAGGTGTCCAGCAGGAGAATATGAGTCGGTTGGATGGACGCCGAGTCGAGCAGCACCGGCTGGCCGCCCTCCTGGTCAAATGTGTACGAATCCAACGTCGGCTGGATCATGACGAGAGAGTTGCTGACGTCTTCGTGATTCAGAACGTGACGATAGAATGCAGTCTCGTCGGGTGAGTTGTTGAAGACCTGCAGAAACTGACTTCGCCGAAGGTGGAACATGAACTGGGGATAGAGGGTAAAGTTCTTCTCCAGCCGGAACGATGTCGGGTCATCCTTCCGGTAGTCTGCAAATCTGGAGCAGAGCCGGATCAACATCCTGTCCACCCAGCGAAGCACATCTGGGCCGTCGTCGACCTCGGCCTTGAAGACAGCAATCCGCGACATGAGAACGGCCGCCGCCTCCTGGTCAAAGGATTGCGCAATGGCTGGATCTCCAGCGGGGCCGCTCAAATTCCGGGCAATGGTCGTCACTCGAAGGTGGAACTGGCCCGACGAGTGCTGATAATACGTCAAGAACTGCATCATGCCCTTCTGTGGTGCCTGCTGGTGAGTTGCCGGCCCTTGGTTGGCAACTTCGAAATAGATGCCATAGCTGGAGTTGGGGTCGATGCCGCACATCTTCCATGAGCACGTGTTGCCAATGCCACATTCCGTCTCACCGACCGAGACGGACTTCTTGTTGAGAGATACTGCGTGCCCGATGAGGCCAGTGACCTTGAGCTCCTTGGTCGTCAGCACCTCGAGCACCGCGTTGAAGCCCATGAGGAGGTTATCGTCGCCGTCCTTTTCGAAAATGCGCACAAACGACTGCTTGAACATTGAAGATGTAAAACTGTCAGTAAGAATCATATGGCCTCCAGTCGAGTTGCAAAGCCCCTTCATCTCGAGCAGGCCAACCTGGTCGAGGCAGCCTGCGAATATATCGATGATGTGTCCATTATGAGCAGTGCGCTTGGCGAGGTTATCGTAGAACTATGACATGGCTTTAGTCTCTCATTCCGCGTAGCAATCTTCTACAGATTCGAGTGGTCTTTACCTTCAGTGCCTTCTTGTAGTACTTGGCATTATCGCGGTCAATGTCATGGTGTGAGCGAATCGGCTCCCTGAGTTCTGGTCCAACCACCATGCCGGGGCCCTCGGTTGCAGGTCCGCCCGCGAAAAGCATGATACGGCCGCCAGCATTCTGAAACGTTGATTCCATCAGTCCAATGGCAACACTGAGAGCGACACCAGTGCAGCGGAGACTTCTCCGATCGCTGGCAGTTGGCCAGGGGTCTTTTTGCAGCGACTCCAGAACCTTGGTGAGCTGGAACTCGGCCTGCTGCACGGGCAACAGAAACCTCGACGTGGTCCCAGCATTCATTGGGCGGGCCGCCTGTGGTGGCACACCAGGTCGTACGCCTTGGGAAGTCAATCCTAGCATGTCTTGGACATTTTTGGCGGAGTAGTCCTTGCTTCCACGAAAGACATAGGACTTGGCGCAGCCCTCGTAGCCGATTTCGTGGACTTGGGCCTGGTATTGATTAGCACTCGTTCGCAAATGAGGCCTCGGGGTGAGCAGACCATCGTTCCGTATGTAATGAGGCCAACCAGTGCATTCTCCGGCAGCAGACTGAGACTCATGACCAGTGACTCCTTGAGCGCAGCCAAGCTATCCTCCTCTTGGCACAAATCAACCACGTATAGAAACAAAGGCGGCGCAGGCGCAGGTCTCGACAGCCTGTATTCGATTGTGGTGTTTGCAGGATGCAGTTCGGGTGGGATCGCATTCGCTGTGATGTCTTTGTAGTGCGGCGGAAGCTGGTTCCTTGAGAGGCAGAAGGGGCAGATCCATACACGAGCTCGAACATCCACTTGGCTAACATGGAACATCAGTTAGAAACCCTGCGTGGGCAGACCTGGGGACAACTGCCTGGTGGTGAGAACTTTACCAGAATGGGTTGAGAACCGATCGGCAAGGCTGCTTGCAGGTGACAGGCTCGAATTGGAGCAGAGGCGTATCGGGCTTCTCCTTGAGCGGCGTAAACAGAGCACCTATCGGCACGACTAACCGGGAGGCTTCCTGTTGAAGATCTATGAGCTGGGGCGCCCGGATTGTGTTCGAGGAGATCAAGTACCATTCGAGAGCTGGGGAACACGTTCCAGCTGAGGCGGACGCCATCACGGTCCTCGACCTCGCTCCATTGCTCCTTGATCGCTTCGTAGTCCATTGGCGGCCGAGTGAAGTCGTCGGACGCGCTCGGTGGGTTCTTATCGTCGGATGGCAGCCAAACCACTTGAGGTGTGAACACGTTTGGCAGCAGAGAGAAGCACGATTATGATACTATGAGGACAGCTAACAGTCCGAGCTGGTGAGACTCTTTGGCCAGCGTGGAGCATCAGGGCCCCACCTCAGCCGATAAGGACGATAAGGTACGTTCTTGTCTGTACCTGGCACTTGACCTTTCGCCTTCAAGTTGTCGCATCATTGTCTGCAGACCGTCCGCGGGGCAGGTGCAGTGACATACTTTCCTTCCTAGGTAGTCATTTTTTGTGGACACTTGGAAGGCTGGAACCAGCTTCCTTTTTCAAAAGGTGCCATTTGTTCCTTTCGATATCTGCCACCTATCATACCTTACCTTGATTACCTACCTAGTACCTTACACGGACAGCCTCGCTCGCGCATTCTCCCTCCTCCTTCGGGCCTCAACTGCTTCACTTACCTTCCTATTCCCTCCTCCTCGCTCGTGGTTTCCGTCGAACTGCCGCCTTGCCCTACTTATCATCACCTCCCGCAAAACCAGCCGTCTGCCCATCTCACGAAAGAGCCTTCGGCAAGGAACATCTGCGACCGATGGCGGCATCAACGACATCTTCATCTCACACCAACGCCAAATCTCCCACTATCCGACGCATACGTTAGTTTTCTTGTCCCCCCCCCCCCCGATCTGGGATGCAATCACGTTTCGTCCTACAAGCGGGCGCTAACTCGGGTGTTTTCCAGTCCGCGAGGCTGCAGAGCTTTCAAATACGCCTTCTCCCGACTACACCGCGGAACCGTTGGAGTCAGATCTCTTCGAATGGCACTTCACCCTTCGAGGCCCGCCGAATTCTCCATATAGCCAGGGTATATACCATGGTCGTATAATCCTGCCTCCAGCCTATCCTCTGCGGCCCCCAAGCTTTCGCTTCTCTACCCCGAATGGTCGCTTCGAGGCCAACCGAGAGATCTGCCTCAGCATTAGTGGCCATCATGAGGAGACATGGCAACCCGCCTGGGGCATCCGAACCGCTCTTGTCGCGTAGGAACTCCACGCTCAAATAACATGCATACGCTTTGATAATCCGCATACCTACTAACCGACAATTGTCATGGCCAGGCTCCGCAGTTTCATGGAAACAGATGTTCTAGGTCAGTTGGGTGGCCTGGAAACCACTGAGGCGGTACGCCGCCGCCTTGCTCAAGAATCGACGTCTTTCAGATGCGCAGTTTGTACGAGGACAAATGCAGAGATCATCGCCGAATGCGAGGCCCGTTGTAAACAAGCTGCTTCCTCGTGTTCGGACATATCAGTTCCCGCTGAGCTAAACATGGGCTGGAGGGATGAGCTTGAGACGAGAAGGGACAAGTCGTCATCGTCCCGTTCGCAACAGATCGCACCTGGGTCCAGTCCCGGTGACGGGTCATCTGACGCAGCTGAGCTCGCAGAGGGTTTTGTACAGACTGCTCCCAGCGTCTCAGATAACGTGATACCACAACCAGCATCGGCGATGCCAGCTCCTGGGACTCAGCGACGTTCCTCTACCACCCGCCAGATAAGGACGGGAAGCGATGAAGTGCCTTTGTGGATAGATAGGGTCATTGTAGCGCTGGTAATCTTGTTAGCCGCCCTGGTCCTGAAAGTCTTGTTGGGCAGATGACAGGCTCCTAGCCTGGATAGGGGCGATTTAGCGCTTTCCAACAGGGGGGGATATAGAGCCTACGAAACCTCCCTCATCACGATTCAAAGGGATGGTCGGCGAGTGAAGGAACAGTCATTTCATCCCTTGCAGAGCAGAGCCGGAAGCCACAGCTGTCGAAGGCCTATTATAAGAATCACTATGGGCATTCCCGTTATCTAGTCCTATGGCACTGCACGGACGATGGACTATATGAAATTATCATGTACGGATGAAGCTTATGGGGTAGAGACCTATACCTCTAATATAGTCTGGCTGCGTAAATGATCGACCACAGCAAAAGAGGCCTCTATCCTGCAGAAGCCGCCGTACAGTCACGCGAAGCTGCTTTCATCGGCTATATTGCCACGGCACAGCCAGCCACCACCACTCTCCGACAGTAACACACACGCCGCCCATGGCCTCTTCGAAGACGCCGGTTTTCAAGCCCCAGTCGATGATGAGCTGTGCCTCGAACTCGTCCAGGATGGGCCTCAGAGAGTTGCAAACGTCCCTCACAGTCATCGGCCCTTTAGTGGCATACGCAAAGCACAAGGCTCCCAGGATATCGGACCATCTTTTGGCATCCTTCTCCCCGAAAAAGTCGATCCACTGGGGAATTTCTCCCTTCGAGGTTGTAGAGGGGAGGTCTTGCTGCACCACAGCTCGCAACACGGCAACGTCCTCGCTGAACTGATACCCTTCTGTGGGCACGGCTTGAAGTCGGAAATGATAGTAAGATTTGGGGTACTTTCGGCTCTCGTAGTTGCCCGGTTCAAAGCCCAAGGGAATGTTTGGTATGTCCAAGGGAACAATCGTAATTCTTGCAGCAGCATTCAGATTCGTCAAGGCCATCATAGAGCCATCATCCAGCGTATACGGCACCTCAAATGCCTCTTTCCTTCGAAAGACGGCATCCATCTGCCTTTTGAAAGCTGCCGCCTCTTCGTATTTTGGGCGTTGCGCTACCCTATTCAATGTTGACAGGTACCATTCACTGAGCCGGTACGGACGGCCCCCAAGTGGTGTCTTTTTGCTCCTGCAAATGACTCTCTCGGCCGTGAGTTGCTCGATTGCCTGCTTGAGTAGCAGAGAGCCTTGTCCCGTGCCTTCTGCCCCTGACAAGGTGAGAAACTTCTCGCGGATTTTCCGCACCGAGTATTTCGCTTCACCGGTGCAGCAAAGCGACTTGATCCACGACCTCGCGACATCTGCTTTGCCGACATTGGTCCCGTACTCATGGTCAACAGGGAGTGCTCCGGGCTCTGACGTGACCGCCTCAAACCGGGAGAAGATTGATGATTGGGCATGAAAATATCGCTCGCACCAGTCTTGCTCGCCAGACTTGCTGGTCACCAGCGAAAATCGATGAGCCAAAAGCTCTCTCGTCTCAGGGATTTGATAGCCTTCTTGGCGGGATATTCTTGACGCCCATCTGATAAGCGTCCCCCAGTCGTAGTCGATTGGGTCTTCAAAGTCAACCATGGGCAATTCCTGGGTTTCAAGAGCTTCGATCAGCCGTTGCTGAACATCTCGCGTGAATTTTTTGATGTAAGCCCCCTGTTCTTTGCATGCAATTGCCCAAAATTTACGCAAGGTAGCCAGTCGCGCGTTCGGGAAGATGTGAAGTAGAACGCCCCAGTCGATGGCTTTATCTGCGCCCCCTAGCAAAACCCGAACGACGACAAAGGCGGCTAGGGGGTTTGCTTGGCTGAGTGGCTGTCCGTCCATCATCTCTAACGCTCTTTGTCCCTCCTTTCTATCCGTTCCCCTTCGAGAGATGGACGTAAGTGGGCGAGTGATCAAAGCCACACGCTTGACCTTGGATTGTGTGGTGTCAACACCGCCCAAGGGGCGCCTGGAGTGTCTCAAGACAGATGTATCCGAGCCAAAGTCGGAGTCCCCGTCACTACTCGATGACAGGGCTCCTGGTGTAGACACACTTCTATCGAATGATACAGGTGTTTGGAGCTCTTGGTGCCGCCACTCGAGACTGGAAGGGGAGCCAACACTGCTTATTTCGGCCGAAAGATTGACAAAAAGGTTGTATGGGCCAGCAGCCAAAGGCGGTGCGTTGATAAATCGGTCCGCCTGGTTCAGCTCTATCTCCAGGCAATCGGCCAGGCACTTCCTGAAGTTGCCATAAGCGGCCTCGGCGCTGACGGCACGGTTTGACCTACTACCTTCACTCGCAGAAAGTCGTTTGTCGAGGTCTTGTACCACATCAGCCCATGAGAACCACTCCATATCAGGCATCCAGCCGCAGAGCGTGAAGCTGGTGTTACTGCTCTTCTCCTCAAAGAAGGGCAGCCCGAGATATGGCCAGCTTCCGTCTCGGCCTTCGATGCATCGTACAGGACTCGCCATGGCAAACTCTGCTCCTTGAGCGGTCGGTGAGCCTTGGAGAGAACGATTCGTGGTGCGAGTCAAGGTGAATGACGGTGTCATTCCTCGCGATATGCCGTCATCCGGAGCACACCAGTCGTCTTGCAAGAAGGTGTTTGGAGCTAAGAATTGCAACTCAACTTCGTGAGTAGAATGACCCTTCTTATCTTTGTTGTGGTTCAGCATATCCATCTTCTTCCCAGAGAGCCAGCTATCTGAAGCCCACCTCGCTCGATACTCGTCATTCAAGGGCGCGGGTAGAGGTGCAGGACTCTGTATACCCCCCTGAGCAAACTTTCTTCGCTTACTTGGGGTTTCATCATTCATGACTCCATGGTGCCTTTTGAAAGAAGATTGGGCGGCATAAACCGGAGCGTCCAGCTGTGCAACCTCACCAGCGAGAACTCGGCGTCCTCGTCGGTTCTCCCTCTTCTCCCCCCTTTCGATGCTATTGTTGGATGGTGTAGAGAGCTGGGGGTGGCGTTGCTTGATCATTTCAACAACGGCCAACGTTTCCGCAGAGAACGCGTCAAGATGTGGCAGCGTAAGGATCTGACATTTAGAAAAGAGGCCGCTCTGGTCCTGGAAGCCATGCCAATGCTCTAGCACCGACCTAGCTTTCAGCATTCGACTTAGAGCCCATTGAAAGTCCTTTGTTTTCGGTACTGGCTTGCCAGGATGCCGTTGTTTCCAAACAGCAGTGATGGCGTGCCAAAGAGAATGCCCTCCAGGAAGGACCCCATTGCGCTCCTGAAGCATGTCCATCAGCAAGCTTGAAACTTGATCCGTGATTCCGGTTCGGGGAGGCTTTTTATTTCGGACTTCGATTCCCCTGTTGCTGTCTCCGGAGTCGTAGCGTTGCTGGCCGTCCGTAGTTCCTACATCTGCCTTCCCTGGGTAGGACGCTGTGCCGGCCGCTTCTGGAACGGGCTCGCGGTGCTCGTGCTGATCCCCTTGAGTGCTCATATTCTCAAAGGGCAAAGCCGGGCTTGAATGTTGCTGATTCTCACCCAGGTCGAGAGCGGCGTAGGGCAAACTTTCGAGTTGGTTGGCAGGGTATTCCCGATTCATGAAGTCGAATATTTGACTCGGTGGTCTCGTGTCAACCTGTACGAGGCCTATCTGTTCGTGGGGAACCACGGATTGCTTGAAAACTCTTCTATGCTCCGGGGCCGATTGAGGGAGGGAAGATGATTTCAACGCAAAACTTTCTCTCTCTTTCAAGATTGGAATAGTTGATATCGTGTGCAGTGGGTATTGACCCCCATGAGATCTGGATTCCGTTGGAGATATTCTGGATAACGAAGATTCTATGTCATTCCGCTCTCTTTCTCTCTTTCTCCCATCTCGCCTGTCTTCAATGGCTCGAGCCTTTATCTTCCGACCTGAAGACCTCGTCCCCAGAACCGCGGCTGCATCGGCATCATCAGTTGTCTTGGCTGTGCTCGTTGACCGGAGAGCAGATCTCGCCTCCTGACGGGAACTGTCAACATTGGCAGGGTTAAAGGATGGGTTACATGGAGTTTGCGACTTCTCAAGGTGGTATTTGAGGCCGATATCATTCTTCCAACTCTTGCCACATTGATCGCATTTCCATTTCTTGGGTTTCGTCACGCCATCGGTGGGAGTCCCAGTCCCCCGTTTATCGCCGAGAGAATGAGTACCCCGACCTCGCCCACGTCCGCGTCCACGTCCTCGTCCGCTGCTTGCAGATTGAGTGCTTCCTATGGGCACACACGGATTAGGCGGCGACGAGGCTGTCGCGTCTGAAAGAGTAACTCCCGTGTGATCACCCGTCGTTGGTTCTACCAGCTCCGGTTCCATGAGCTTCTTGAGAATATCACCGGGCACCTGTAACTTGACCATCATTGACTTCAGACCCGATTGGCCTTCGGTCTTGGGATCAACCTCTGCTTCAGACGTATGATGCATCTCATCGTCTCCACTCCGGTCACTCTGATACTCTGGCCTGATCTTCCGGGGTCTGCCTCTCTGCTTCCTTTGAGATAACGTAGCTTGGCTGAGATTGGCCAGCTTGGTGTCGCCAGTGGGCACTTCCTGGTCGAAGCCATACGGTGGCCGTATACCACTCTGGTTCTCGCCGTCTCGCTGTCCCATTCCAGCTGGCAAAGCATCCACTTGGAGCATCCAGTCTGCAACCTGCGGTAAAGGGGGCAGCGAGTATCTGTAAGATGCAACTTTCCCAGTCCTGGAGTGCTCACTAACCACTTGCAGATGCTGCAGTTGGACTGGCTGGATATTCGGCGTAGAGAGACATGTTGTCAAAGACGATAGAAAACGTGTGAACGATACACCTAGCGTAAGCCCGTATACGTCTGGATTCGTCAACCCCGTGTCACCACATGCCATGATGCTCTTCGCAATGGCAATGGCCAACGGTTGATCAGCTGACCACGACGGCGCGACGCTCAAGCACTTGGAAGAAGCAATCGGTTCCATGAATGATTCAGTGGCATCGTTGCTGTCCTGGTTAAAAGATTCGCCTGTCCTCGCGGGCTTTCCGGCGCGCTTTCCCGTTGCCAGGAATATGGACCAATCCTTCGGGGATAGGTCCCGATTGAACTGGACGCAATCATTGAAGACTTTGTTGTCAAGCTTCGCTGCAACGTATCGAATCGCGTCTCGCGCATTCAGGAACCGGCAGACTTTGGAAACTACCTTCATTTGCCATCGCATGCCAAGGACGCCCAACTTGGCTTTCAAGTCTTGCATGCGTAGAACACCCCACTCTTTACAGACGGCCATTATAGTGGTTGCAAGGGCTGTATAATCAACAGCTTCACCAGTCCATCTTGTGTGCCAAGGAACAGCGTCAAGGTTGACAGCCAGAACTTGGCGAGAAAGATTCATCTCTGCCTCCGGTTCTGTAGCTGCGCTGCTATCTTTCGGCAGCGGAGGGGCGAAAAGCTTGAGCCACATTTTGCTGGTTTTGGTTCCCCGGACAAGTGTGGTACGCTTGGTAATGTAGCCTTTCTTTACAAGTGCATCCGTTCGCTTCGGTACTGAACGCTTGTCTTGGTCGACCAGACGGCCAAGATCACCTTGCAGGATTCCGTTTGCTTTCGTCGAAGCGATGCCAAGAAGCAGAAGCCATTCGGAACGAGGAACGCGCTTGTAATCCACCGCATGCCCGGTAATAGCCTCCCACATCGTTTCTTGGGAAACGTGAATGCGAATGCCGTGGCCATCGTGTAGTTTATCCAGCGCCAACGCCTCTGGGAATGTTACCCCATTGTATCGTCGATCAGGCCCAATGGATATATCAGTCCGCCGAACAAGCCATTTCCAGATCGTGTTGACTGCATGATCTGAGAACGTAAACGTCAAGGGGCTGGAGATCGCATCGTGAGTATTGTGGAAAGCACCGGCAGCACCTTCGGACAGATGAAGGGCTAGTTTTGCAGCATCGTTGAATTCCTTTATGGGAAGACCTGCAGATTGAGCATCAATAACTGTTATTCCCAGACCAAAGTGCCTCGACATGCGAGAATGGGGTTCTTCCACTCGCAAGGAATACAAACGCTACAGGATAAGAAACATACCTTCTTCGCCAGCACATGATATGACAAGCAGTACACGAGCAATTAGCCCTTCGAGTTCCAGGGCCATAATAGACTATAACGCGTAGAGCGGCGCATTATAGAGGTTAATGATAGGGAACTGTTAGAGCGAGATAGAGCTATAAGAATTCCTGGTATCCTTAGCTAGGACATAAGGTACAGTTAGCACTTAAAAAGTTACTGTTTATATATTAAGGCATTTACTATTCTATATTAATAAACTAATAGTTAATAACTATTTTATAATATCTTACTTTAAGTTATTAATAAATAGTATATTTAAGTATTTAATAATACTTTATTTAATTTATTTAGTAATTTTTAATAAAACTATTATTATTACTTTATATTTAATAGCTTATAAATATTAAGTAGTCCTTACCTTAATAATTTAAGACTACTTTATAATACTATAACCCTTAAGCCTATAATATATTTATAGCTATTTATTTATTTATTTTTTTCCTTAATTAGTTATTTATAAAAAAAAGGTTTTAATTACTTTTTATTAATAAATAATATTTTAATAGCTTATAAATAAAATAATAAAAATAATAATTATTATATATTAATAATAACTTATTTTAAATATAAATATTTAATTATATTATATTTAAGTATTTATTAAATCTTTAATATTTAATTATAAATTATTAAAGCTAGTATATAAAATAAAAAAGTAAAAAAAGAAAAATAATAATTAAAGCTATAAAAAGTTAATATATATTTATTAATTACTATTAAGTAATTTATAAGTTAATTATATAATTACTTTTATAAATAAATATTTAGAAATTATTATTTTTATTTTTAAAATCTTTTTAAAATAAAAAAACTATTTACTTTTTTATAATTATAATAATATTATAAAGTTATAAGTATTTATATTAAAATTATTATAACTTTATATATATTTAATTTAACTTTAAATTAAACTTTTTTTTAAAACTATACCTTTTTATAAAAAATATATATTATAATTATAATAAGTTATTTTTTTATTATATTATTTAATATAATTATTTTATTTATTATTTATTATTTATTTTTAATATTTACTTTTATATTTTTTTATATTTAATAAAAACCTATTTTATTTATTAAGCTTTATAGTTTTTAAAGACTTATTATAATATAATATATTTTTATATATATATTTATTTTTTATTTAATTAATTTTTAAATAAAAATACTTTTTTTATTTTTTTTATTAAATTGTTTTTATTAATAAAACCTTTAATATATTTTAATAATTTTAAAAAAGCTAGGTAAAAAGCTATTTATTTTATTAAACCTTTTTATTATTTTTTTTTTAAAAAAGAATTAAAAAATATAAAAAAATATTTTTTTTTTAAAAAAAAAAAGAAAAAGTTTTTTTTAAAAAAAAAGATTTTTAAAAATAAAAAGGGTTAAAATATAAAAAAAATATTAATAAAAGGGTTTTTATATAAAAAACCCCCCTTTAAAAAATAAAAAAAAAATTTCTCTTTTTTTTATAAAACTCCTTTTTATTTTTTA